AATTGATTCCAGCTGGTATTTTCCGGCGAAGATTGAAACCAATTGAATGGAACGTGAAAGCAGCCTTTGTCCGAACGAGAGAGATAATGGCGTTTGATATACCTAATATTTAACTTTAATATGCCGTAGATATATACGTCGCAAAATAAATAACAGATAAATATCAGAAAGCGCGCTCGCGAAAAATACTAAGTAAATACAACATACAATACTAAGCATTATGTATTTGTTGTAGATATTAAATTAATTGAACGTCTTTTCTTCTCACAAACACGCTCATGGGTTGGGACAAATTCTTCCATGAAAACGGAGACTTTATATACCTATCGTGCACAACGATAAATGCGCGAACTACAGGTATAGCGATGCGCGAATCGAGTGGTTCGACGCATTCTACACCCTTCTACGAGCGCTTTCGCCCTACAATCCCCCGCGGCGACGCTTTTTACGGTGACGGACGACTCCTGGAGGCGTGTCGACGTATATATGCGACGTAACCGACAAAGGGTGGGCTCGCGTGATCGAAGCTCGGGTAGAAGGACGCCCACGAAAGTCACGAGGTCGCGCAATCGCAAAGACACCCCCGTCGCCGTCGCCGATTTTCAGAGAAAGTCGTCATCGTCGAAATCAAGATTCGAGCATAATTCGTGAAAGGAAAATCGATGGCGTGTCGGCAATTGCGGAAAATCGATGACTGTATCGTTGGCGAAAACATTAAACTTGACAATAAGTTTTTAAATTCCCTTATTAATTACATATATACGGCACTTTGTACAATTATAAATATAAGCCTACTTTATATTCCATAATTATAAAGCTTTGTTAGTCCTATATAGAAATTATATTCCAAGTTTTTTACAGAAATTCGGAGAACTCCAGTCATAGATAAGACAGGAAAATCTTAAGCTTGAAGTTAGAACTTTACATATTTTGATACATGGAGTTGAAGATTTACTTTATCATTATTATAAAAAATCTAAAATTAAATAGAGTGTCATTTTCAGTCGGGCTGGATTTTGGTAGCCTAATAATAATATTTTTCAGATTTATTTATTTTTATAGTTTTTAATTTATTTCAATTTCACATAAAAGATTCACATAAAAGATTATAATTTTATACATTATTAATATAAAATAGAATGTAACTGGGAAAAATTATAAATCTTAAAAAGATCACTATTGTACAATTAATATTTTGTCTATAGAATTTTTAATATAATACGGAGTATAGAAAATTAGTATTTTTTTGTTTTATTTATGTACTTTATTCTAAATAATATCTATAATATCTATAAATATAAACTTTAGTCTCTGTTTTTTGCTTCTTTTTTAGGGAAAATAATTATATGTAAATACAAAATTTATAATCTTTTTTGGCATCTGCCGTGCGGAATTGAGAAGTTTAAAAATCAAAAGAATTCAAACTATATCAAAATCTATTCTATGTGACAGCTATAACGATTCAAATCTTCCTTACGAAATATTTAATACACCCTGTGATTTGTATATGTGCGGCATATATTTGGTGCATTCGCGTAGCACAATACTTTGATATACAAATCGGACAATTTCTGACGTTCATTTGCCGCGTGGCTTACTTTTGGCGGTACACCCTTTTGGGCGACGTAATGCCAACGACGCGTATGCATGACAGATTTTATGGGCATCAACCATGCGCATAGAAAACGCCGTGCCATCTGTTACCTCGTGGTCAGGTGGAAAATTTAACGATCGTCGCGATGCATTAGGGAAATATCGCACTTCGATCGATCAGGCCTTTATATGCGAGTTGCGAGTTTTGATGTATCTGCACCGCGTGAAATATGCCTGCGCGAACATGCGCCTCCGTTTCACGGCAAAAGCCGAGCCCGTAAAGACGATCGATTTAAATCACCGCTTCAAATGGATTTTCGAGAAAAATTGACCTAAATCACAGCTGAAATGCGAACAGATGGAATCTTCGACAAATAAGTAGAGTGATTAGCGACATGAATAAGTGATATGGATTTGTAGTTAAATGAACAGATTTTGCATCTTAATCACTCTGCTGTTATATTGTCAATTGTCATGCATATACGATAATGTATTAACAGTACATTAAATATAAAATGAATTAATATTGGCGACATTTCATACGAATCAATACACCTCTTTTATTCAGGCAATATCAAGATCAATCTTTTTTCTTTACGATATATTTCTACACTGTTGGGAAATTTTTGTAGTTTTGTCAAAAAAGACCCTTGTTAAAATTTTTGTGTAAAATAATCAACACATACATGTGTAAATTTAACTGCCTGCTATATATGTTAATTGAACTTAACAAATTTAAAATGTACAATTATTAAAATAATTTTAAAAAAGCGTATTTATTAAATGTGTTAAAATTTACAGAAAAAGAATGTTCATTTTACTCTATAACAAAAGTAGGAATAAAAATTTACAGAAAAAAGAGTGTAGATTGTAAGTTTCAACATAAAAGTTATGTTAATTATACATATAATTAACTCAAATTACGATCAGAATTACATTTCCTTTCTGTTGAAATATTTTAACATAGTATCGGTGTGTTACCATTTAATACATCCATATTATGTTAAATTAACACGAAAATTTTAGTGGATCGTTTGGGACATGTGATAATTTATGTTATATTTAATACAAATTTTCAAACAGTGTATTGTAAAATATGTTAAAATAGAAATTCCACAAGAATATAATTTCTTTATTATAACTTTCTTGCTTTTCGACGAGTTTTAAGCATGAGGTGAGTTAAACATTGGACACTAAGAATATAACGCAATTGTTAGTGCGTGAACAATTCGTAATTTATTTTAAATTATAGTAAAACATAAGGTTCAAAAGAAACGGACGTTTCGGCTCCGCTTTTGAGCCATCTTCAGTGCACAAACATTACATATTATACGTTAAAAACTTAATGAATACGTTCTCAATAAGGTCTATGCGCTGAGTTGCCTTATTGAGAACGTGATTATTCATTAAGTTTTTAACATATGTAACGTTTGTGCGCTGAAGATGGCTCAAAGCGGAGCCGAAACGTCCGTTTCTTTTACGAATTAAGCTTATCACGCACTAATAATTAACTCATTTTCATTAACGAGAATCTTGTAATTTTTAATTTTCTATTATAAGCATAAAGAATAACCGCTGGTGGAAAGTAAACCGCGGAGATCAAGGAACCATCCCATAATCACAGCTACAGCCTTCACGATCTAATGCGCGTTTATGTATACGCGTGCAATCGATCCGTATAGTATACGGTCGGACGTGCGCGCGGGCTTAGGGGAAAGGGTATAAAAAGGAAGAAACAGAAATGATGGGCGGGCGAGAAGAACAGAAGAAATATACGCGAATGATCCCAGGCAAGATTATAAAATGGCGTCCCTCATCCCCGTGACCGTTCTTAATTTCGCTCAGTTCCTTTTGTCCTCTCGCCTTCTTTCCCTCTCCGCCTCCTTTTTTTCTCCTCTCACTCCCCGGGCTCCTCGCTCGGAAACAGACGTTATCCTTCCTTATTCGGCGCGCTCCGCGCGTTGCTTACCGAATCGAGGCAGAATCAGCAGCTCAAAGGGACTCCCGAGGGATGACTCTCGAATTCTTTTGCGCAACAATTCCAATGAATACCGCCGCTGCGACGCATTAATAAGCCGCCGCGTTGAGTTATTAAACGTAGACAATATATTTTCGGGGATTTTTAATACCCGGCAAGATGAGGTTTCCTATCCTATTCCGCTCCTTTTTACGCTTCTTTCTCTACATTATAATAATCATGCTTTTACATAATTCTCCATCTACTTATTTTAATAAATAATGCCACAAATATCGAATATCGAGGTATCTCTTCCTCTAATAGAAGTATGAATGACATACTTCTATTTTTTTATAAACAACAAAATTATACATCCCTTATTTTATAGAGCTATATATTTTAATAACACAGTAAAAAACATTTTGTATTTGAGTATATAGATTTCTATTTGTATAGAAATTTTTGTGTTAAATTTTTAACATACCCTGGTTTTGTAACATATTGTCATTGTGTAATTTTGACTTTTCTGCGATGAGTTAATATTCAACATTTTTAAGAATTAAACTAACACAATTTTTATGAAAATGCACGAATTCTTGATGACATATTTTATGTTAAAATGAACAACTCAAGTTGCGTTACTTTCCTTTCTCTATGAGAGTTTCCATCTGTTAAATCGACATTTTCTTATGTTACATGTCGCTGTCTCCTATTTTTTGCAAGAAAAAGAAAAAAAAGAATAACATTTTATTTTAATTAAATTTAACATTATAGATATGTAAATTTAACATAAACTTTTCTTCCAGATAGCGTCTACGTGTTACAATTTTGTATTAATTTTTCACATATTACTTGTCGTGTTACTTATTTACATATATTTGCCTTCTGTTAAATTAACATAAAAATTAGAGTGTATAAATTGGGACATGTGAAATGTTAAATTTAACATAAAATTGCTTACTGAGAAAAATTGAATTTTTTTATAAAAATTAAGTATTATATTTCTAATGCACTGTCAATGAATAATGTTAAACGACGTTCTCCTTGAGTATCAGCATTGCTATAGTACATATCAATAAAAATATACTTCTATACATATCAATCTAAATGCTCGTTGTCAAAACTCAGTCGTACGATCAAACTTTCAACAACGCACGAATAAAAGACGGTAAACGCGGAAGATCGGATTACATTCGTCGGCGTCTTACTGCAGACACTCTCTCCGTCCGAATAAAGGTTTAATATATCGTCCACCATCAGCGAATTATCAGATGACGACGATAGTCGGCCCGCCTCGCTCTTCCAGATCCTCTCGTCCTCTCTCATCTTCCGCGCCACGTTGAGGACACCCCAACAGCAACCCCGGCAACGCGGTTCCCGGCAAAGTCGTACAGCGTTGGTGGCGTGCGCCATATTGGGGGGCGGTCGGGCGTCCCACCAATCGGCACCTACCAGACGCTGGCGTGGGTGCCGACCGCACCCAATAATCCAGGCACTCGCCCCACCAATCAGTCGCCACACCCACAAGTGTCACGTGCGCACAAGCAACATCGTCGCTGGCGAACTAGTCGTGCGCGTACCCTCGTCTTGTACTTGTCGTTGCGGGACGAGTGTGCTCTTTCTTTTACGCCGAGGTATTAATAGAAGTGTTGGTGCGCGATAAGATAAACTTGACGAATAGTCAGACTTGTTTGTTCGGATTATCGAAGCTTCGCTGCAAGCCTTCGTAATACGTCGATGTTATCCATAATTATGATCTAGATGAAGTTCTGACAAAAAGATACTCCGGTCGTGCATGTTGAAGAACTTGTCTCGTACAATTCCGTGAACTCCAAGTGTCTGATTAAAGAACGAACTGCACTCAAGATGAATTAAGTGCCAATGGCAAATTTAATAAGGAACTTATAGCAACAGCTTTTGGAAAACTAATAGAAAAAGCAAGAAAGTTTTAATGAAATATATGTCCTCTTTTTTTCCAAAAATTAATAACGAATTTGCTCGAAGAAAATTTTCGTTTGAAAGCTTGAAGTTATTCCACTTGACAGCCTTTAAGACAAGGACGTCTGGATTTTCCAAAGATATGTCATTCTTCCTTACTATCATGCCTTAGTAACCGTCAGGAAGATAGTGGGCATTCTTTTTCTTCCAACGCTTTCTTGATAAAGAGACTCGCGATCGCACGCACGAAATAAAAAAGAAAAGAAGAATCGATATGTTCTGATGTACGGAGCGTTGCATTCGCTGAAGTCGCGGGAGCACGGTAGATAATAGCGCGGCGAGTGTGATTGCATGCACGCGGAAAACGGTGGCAGTTATGACTAAGATGAGACTGGAGTTGTTGGGGTGCGATGCTCATCCTCTGGAAAGGATGTACCGTTCGCAACGGCACGACGTCCTAACACCGCAGAGTAGCCCGGAATCGCGGAGCGTTCGCCAGGAACAGCGCAGCAGCGCGGGCAGCGTTGGCTCTACGATATCGCAAGGCGATATATATCCGCTAGATCAGCCCACTTTCGAGCTCGATCATCTGCCTCTGCATATCCCAACGATCCTTCATTGTAAGTGTGTCGACGGATAGGCGATAGAAAGAGAGAGAGAGAGAGAGAGAGAGAGAGAGAGAGAGAGAGAGAGAGAGAGAGAGAGAACACCGAGAATAAAGCTATTGAGATTATCTAACATTCCTCGAATTCGAGCTCCTGCAAGCTTAATTTTGTCGAGGAAGGTGGAGCAAGAACAGCTTTAATCATGCCATTTTGTTAGCATACATAATACGCAGCAGCCTTCTCTATTGGGGGGATTAATATTGCGAAAAATATCCCGATTTAGAAGTCTTAATCTCTCATGTCCATTTCTATTAATGTAGATTAACTTCTAATTCTACTTAATAAATTCTAAAATTCGAAATTTACGAAAATTGGCTTTAAACAAATGATAGACATTACAGCTTCGCATTTAATTGTTAATACTTAGAATTCGTACTTTAATTTGAGATGTATTTCATTAAAGCAAATAATAAAGAAAAGAGGGAATTAATAAATTAGTTAAAACTTTATACTGTATATAGAGTAAAGAATTATTAATTATTATTTCGATATTTTAAAACTACTGAAACATTGATTTAATTTGATCATTTTCTAGAGCGTTGACATTATTGCAGATATTCATGTTATATTAGATACTATTTATTAATATCATATTCTTTAATAAAAATTTAAACTACAATAAACTGTATAAAAGTAACGACAATAAATTTAATGTATAAAACTATTTCTCTCATGTGTTTATACTTTTCATATTATACATCTATATATTATTATTAATTATATTATTATTATATTAACATACAAAATATGAAAAGTATAAATGTATATGAAAGTATAATATGAAAAATATATCTTTTTTGTATGCTGCTTATTACATCCGTTGCGTTGATATGTTGCAGCCACGATACCAAAATGCGGCGGATGTCAGGAAGTTATTTTGGATAAATACGTTCTAAGGGTCCTGGAGAGGTGTTGGCATGCAAGGTGTCTCACGTGTCGGGACTGCGGTGCCAGATTGACCGACAAATGTTTCGCGAGAAACGGCCACGTGTTCTGCAAAGATGACTTCTTCAAGTAAGCACCAATAATTGCTTTCACGACGTTATACTTGCATACGTGCAAATATTTTCTAAATATTATGTAGATCATGTAGATTTTTAATATATTTATAATATACATACAGAAATTATCTTTGTACATGAAGAGATTATTTATTACAGTTTATCTAAAATATTTGTTACTGGTCATTATTCTTATTAATTTTTATTTTTGGTCTTTATTGATTATATCTTTAAGAGACCATCTAATCTATATAAATTTACAAAAAAAATAATAGACAAATCTTTTCGGCGTTTTTCGCAATACTTTGTTCGACTTATCTATACTTATCGTGATAATAATGAACTATGATAAGGCAAAAAAATTATTATATTTTTGTAAAACATGTACATAGGATATTTCAATATCGATTCCGGAAGAATAGCATGTATTTCCTCGTTTATTTGTAAGATATATATGATATTACTCTGCTTCTTTTCTTTGAAAAGCTAAACCGATTTTCTCTCGTTCTATCCTTCATTCTTTATATCCTTGATTTTTTATTTGAAATATTAAACTACCACAGAATTATTTTTGTTTTAATTACACTTTAAAATTATAATAAAAATAAAGTAAAGAATATTTGCATAAATAATTATGTATAGTAAGCAGAAATTATTACTTGTAATGATTACTGCAAGCGCATATCGTTACTTGCATTCGCATCGATTGTCGGATTTGACGAATCGCGACAATGTTATGTCCATAGTTATATAGTTTTGTCATTGATGTGTGAATGTAATGTGAAAATATTGTATGTTGTTGGTGTGGCAGGCGTTTCGGGACGAAATGCGCGGGCTGCGGCCAAGGGTTGGCGCCTTCGCAGGTGGTACGAAGGGCGCAGGAGTTTGTCTACCACCTCACGTGTTTCTCGTGCGCTCTTTGCTCCCGGCAACTGGACACCGGCGATGAATTTTATCTCATGGAAGATAGAAAACTCGTCTGCAAGCCTGATTACGAACAGGCGAAGGCGAAAGGTAAGAAGTGATTTTTATAATATGTAACCTTTTAAATTGCCAAAATAGCATTCTCATAAGAAAGGATTCCTTTTCGAAGAATCTTCTATTCAGAATGTAATTTTTTACAGTAATTTTTTTTAGCATTAATTTAAAATTAAATAAATAGTTTCTACTTTCGACTTTTTATAATTTTCCTTGATGATAGAAAAGATGTAAACAAAAAATTGAAGCTAAAATAGTTAATAAATTATTGATTGATTAATTAAATAGAGATCTCCAAAATATGTATGATGATGCGTAATTTACGGAACTTTTAGAACTGGCAGATGGAGGAAGTATAGACGGTGATCAACCTAATAAGAGGCCGCGGACGACGATCACGGCGAAGCAGCTTGAAACTCTCAAGCTGGCGTACAACACCAGTCCGAAACCGGCGAGGCACGTGCGAGAACAGCTGTCTCAGGACACAGGTCTCGACATGCGCGTCGTTCAAGTCTGGTTCCAGAATAGGTAAGAAAAGTTGGATAGTTGAGCTTACAGGGCTTCCCATATTCTCTCTCTCTCTCTCCGAGCTCTTCACGTAGAGATACCTTATATTACAATTCGTCGAACTATGTGTATGTGCGCATTGTATTCGATATAACGTAGACGGGAATAATATTCGGAAGAAATAGAGTCCGATTAAATGTATTATCTAAAATTACACGTTGTATAAATGACAAGCAGTGTGAACGCGATTCATATACTAAATAAAGAAGTTAGATGAGAAAAGTTAATTTTGGATCTTGATGAAATCAAATTAAGAGAGAAGCATTGGCTTATCGTCAGGATTTCTTTTTTCTGCATTAACGTCTGACGTGGCCTTTGATATGGTTTCTGAAGCCGTTCATGAAAGCAATCGAGAGATTCAGAGATGTTGAGAGACATCACTCCGAATACATACATCTCTTCCGCAACACAATAAAACATGTTAGATAACTTAATTAACGACAGCAGAAATTAATTCCTATTATAAAAGTTAATTTCCGAATTAACTCTTGTTCGAAAATTATGCGTCATATACATAATTCGACACGAACTAAGTAGAGATGTCACTTAATTTGAATGGGAATTTAAATAAATCCCAGAAATATAAACTAAAGATTATGATAATGAAATTGATGTCTACGTTGTTAACTTTATTCTACGTACCCGAGATCATGATATCTGAAAGTACTGTACTTTGTAACGGTGGATGCACATTTTTCCCTCTTATCGCTCAAGTGGCACTACGTGATATTGTTACTAAAGTATAACGATTTGTCGCGAAAAATTGTTTTATCTGTATAAAAAGGAGAGTTCTAGTCGCTGACCTCCGTCGCTTATCAGATGCGAACGGTGTTAGAAAGCGCGCGCGCGCGCGCGCCCGTGAAAATAACGCCCAAGGATAAGTAAATAAGGCCTATCAATGACTGCAGATAAATATACTATATAACACACGTAAATTCATAAAACTACACACGTGTGGTGCAGAATTTTCCAGAAAACTTACACATCTATATATTCGACGTAATACGAGATTAATGTCGGACTGTCGCCGCGAGATAAGATACATTTGTTCATTATTCAGCGAAATGATAATGGAAAGTAGAAATTTGTACGAGATGTTATACAAGATATGAGTATTTATCATAAATAATCGAACACCTAGCACAACGAGTAAAATGTTTATCGTCCCAGAATTTATTCTTTTTCTTGATTTTATCGACGTTCAGTATCAACATCCATTGAACGCGTGATACTGAAAGCGATAAAATAGGAATTTCACCATTATTATATTTTGATATATCTAATAATTCTAAATTATATTTTCAATATTTGTATTAGCGTAGCATGATATCCATAGTGTATCAATAATCTTTAAATATTGTCTACAAAAAAATAATTAATGATTATAAGCGCAACGATATATCCCAAAATAAAGTTATAATTTCATAATCATAATTAAGGTTTTTAATATAAACCTATCTTTCGTCGAATCATTAGAAGCATTTAGAAACTGTTTTACTGGTAATTTTATTAATAATCTATTCTATTAAAATTAATGATCTTACCTTCGGAGGTGTCTAGAAACAAAACTTTATAATGTAGCTATTAGTGATTGTTATTAATTACTATCATTATGGTCTCTGTAGGAGGGCGAAAGAAAAGAGGCTGAAGAAAGATGCTGGTAGGACGAGGTGGTCTCAATATTTTCGCAGTATGAAAGGCGCCGGTGCGGGCGGTCACTCGCCTAGACACGATAAGCTTCTTGACAAAGACGAGCTGAAGGTAGACTTGGACTCCACCTTCGGTCATCACGGTGAGTTGCATTATTGCATTATCATTTTGTTGATACAAATATAAAGATGGCAATAAAAAGGCAAGAAAAGCTGAAAGATAGACTACGCAATTCTTGTATGTCGCAGTTCATTTCAACTATAAATACTAGTTTATAATGTATCGATTCCTTCAACGTTAAAATTAAACTTCTAAAGCAAATTAAAATTTTGATTAATAAAAGTATTTTTAGTTGAATACAAGTAGAATTTGTCTACTTCATTGTCTTTTTCAAAAATAAATTCTTATATAGTTCCAGCTAACTTCTGCAAGAAAATATATTATATCTTAATACTTATAATATTTAGTTATTAAGATAAAAAAAATTAAATATAAATTAAATACCAATTGGAAAAAGATAACGATAATAAGAAATATTTATCTTCAAATGTGACAGCGTGATATAAAAATATGCCTATATAACTGGTAGCTATCGTTCCTCCCTCAAATAATTATGTATCAAAGTTATTCATAATAATCGCGTCAGCCGCTTCCGAAATAATCTAGACGAGCGGTGTGTTATACGCGGTACTCGTTCGAGTAAGTGCAGGTAATAGCGAGCATAAATTCAAGGATGGCCCGCAATCTTCCTGAAATCTCGGACACGGTGAGCCGGCAGTTAGCCTCCGCGATCTCCTGAATATTTGAGGAGATCGTCCTCCCCTCGGATAGCATCTGGGTACTGGGAGACCCAGACACAATGGATGCTGCCAGTCGCTGGCTTGACTTTCGACTTCCAACTTACGGCGTTAGAATGATCGCTCGTTACAATAGCTCCCGACGCGTGACGGAAAGCACCACTTTAGCCATATCTATTTCTAATGTCCTGATTCGTATCATTATATCTAGTTTCGCAGGTCTTAGAACAATAGAATATTCCCAGTGAACATAATGTCCCAAATCGGGATATATGATGTCTTAAAGACATCATTAAGACGTCTTAATGACGTTATACATCCCGATTTGAGACCTGCGTATTGTCTGGGTTAGCTTAAATGAATATTTTCTCTTAACGAAGGGTTTATATAATACATTCTAATCTAATTGCGCTAGTCTGAGACTTAAGAAGAAAACGATTTGTTTTTGCAGACTTGAGTAATGACAGCTACGGAACAGTGGTGAACATGGGCCTGGACGGCGAGGGCGCGAGTCCAGGCGGCGGTGGCAACGGAGCCGGGGGTGGACCGCCCCGCGGGTACCTGGGTGCGACGACACCTCCGTATCTCTCAACGTCCAGATCACCGTCCTTACCACCCCAGTTCCCGTATCCGCCGGACGCTGGTCTCTCGGTGTACACCACTCTCGGTAGGCCTGACGCCAATTACCATACAATATACTCTTGAAAGACAATATACGCTTTTGACTCTCTTGACTATATCAGTTCTCTCTGTATCTTCAAGTCTTCCAATCTGTAACGTTCCTTAATCCTTTTAACTTTCTGAGTTCCTACAACTTCTTTTCGTTTCTTCAACCGTGTCGAGAGATCCCGACTCTTTTTAGTTCTCTTGGTTTTCCGAACAATCTGGATTCTCGCAAATCTGTCAATTTTCTCAGCCCTCAGCCTCCCATTTCGGACAAACAGCCTTGCTCGCTAGGTGATCAATACACTGTAGCTCGGTTTGAGATGAGAAGGAACTCTCGGGCGTTAAACTATTCTACTGCGAGAATCGGAACTTTACGACTGACGTAAACCGTATGATTCCAGGGGGACCAGGCGGCATGGTGCCAGGACCAGCGTCGGATCTGAGTAACGAGTCGAGCGGAGGCGGCGGTGGCGGCGGTGGCGGCGGCGGCGGCGGTGGTAGCGGCGGTGGCGGTGGTTACCCCGACTTCCCACCGTCGCCGGACTCCTGGCTCGGCGAACCGCCGCCCCCGCATGCTCACCATCATTCTCATTCCCATTCCCATTACGCCACATAACCCGCCAAAACCGCGCGTCGCCAAATACCGTATAGAATAACGTGCTGGCGGAGCGGGGCGTTCACCTGAGATCGTCGATGCCGGTCTCGTCGTCGTCGCCGTCGTCGTCTTCCCCGAAGACGTTTCTTCGAATAAAATAATAAATTTCGTAAATTTCAGAAAGCGCTCTCTAAACCTATTCGACAAGGCCTGATTTTATTTGACTGAAGACGTTCTAAAATTTTCTTTGTGTGCAAGATCTAAAAGCGAAAAACTAATTTTTATTTTTTATTAAGAATGTGAATTTCACATTTTCGTATATTTTCATGAAATATTTTGTATAAAATAATTATATTATGTATATATAATGTATATTATTATTTTTTATTCTCTATGAAAAAGTATATTAATTTACATATATCAAGATTTTTTCCTGTACTAAAAATTAAAAAGATTATTGTTATCTCTCTAAAACATATCGTTAATTATTGCATTGTGTAATTACGATTTTGTTCATGTGTATTTACAATATTTTTCACTTTATTTTAGAACAATGTGATTTATGTAGAATTTAGAACACACTCTAAATCATAATTATCTTAATGATTTATCAATATTTGAATTGATAATAGAAATCGCTTTCTTCGGTCTTAGATCTTTTATACTGTCACTCGATTGGCGGTAAGACAAGTTTGAATTAATTACTGTTCACTAAAAATCCGGAGACTACAGAAGCATTGCCAGAAAAATCTCGGAAAAAATCATTCTTGATAAGACGACGTGGTATCTTCAGCGACGACGGATTGCGCGACGCTTGCAAACGTCTCACATGGTCCAAGTCCACAAGTTATTCTACGTCGGTATTTTACACCGTCCCTCCTCACGATCTTTTGTCATCCGAGCGGTTGTATCGAAGCCTTCACGGCATACGTACGATTCGCATTCGATACTACGACTAATCTAAATATATTTATGTACAAGTTCCTCGTTTCTCGGAGTTTGATTGTCGAGTAATAATAGGAAGTAGTGTTAAACGTGCCCCGGACTGTTCGCGGATCCATTCGTCGTGATCTATATGATAGCCCGTTCGTTAATTTCTTTCAGTCGTAAGTTGAGAGCCCGAAAGACAATTTGCAGAATATGAGTGGAAATCAAGATTTTGTATCAGCATTTTGTTTCTAAGGTATTGAGGTATGACGGATACGGATATTTGATTACTATCTGAATGAATTCACATCATCACGACGAATGTGATCATCCGTATGGTCATACCATTGCCTCTAGGCCCGATTTTCATAGTGCTTACATATAAAATTCAAAATTTCGCAAATATTCAAGAGAATTAATATATAATAATCAAACTATTTTCTTGCACGAGTAGAAAAAGCCTATTCTTTATATCTTCCTTTAGAATGTGCTGAGATAAAGTACCTGTATAATCTCTAAATTTTTAACAAGATTATATCTTGTCGCTCTATTTTATCGTCAAATGGAAGAAGCAAGGAACGTTCTTCGATATCCGATCAACATAAAATAATTTATTTTGATTTAATTATTATTGTTCGAGCAATCTTCGATCGAAGACTTAAATTCTGAAAATCGGGCATCGGGCATGCGTTTTGACGATTTATCTTGCTTGCGTGTGACGCTAGAATCTTGAAATGTGTATTGTAAATAGTACGAATTAAACCTGTAGGAAAAGTTGATCCAATCCAGGATATCCGATTTTAGTTGTTACTTCTTAATTATTTGCATTATTGGCACATAAAAAAAAAGATATTGAATCATGTTAATTTAGTGAACAATAATATAATTACAGTTCGTGTGAATGAAATTTTTCCGAATTTAATATTATACATATATTGTACAGAAACAATAATACTTTTGTTCAGAATCGAATAATGTGGATTGAAAACTTTTCTTTGCTAGTTGAAATTGTGCGTAAGAAAGATTGACGTGCAAAAGTCTCAACGTGCACAGTGATGTTTACGTTAAACAATATTTGCAATTTAATTGACATACTTGCAAACGCTTTTTTTCAGACACGTATTGTCCGTATTACTCCATCGTGGACACGCTTTAATTATTATTATATCTGACACAAATTCGAAATCTGAAAAGCGAATGCAAAGTCAAACACAATCTTCGAGCAGAATTGCGCGATCTTGTACATTCTTATTGCTATTTTTGCGCGCCGATCTGTGTAATGATCAAAATTATAAATTTCGAACTGCACCTCGCTGCTGATTGACCACGAGGTCACGTAAGCCGTCGACTAATAATAACTTGTGACTCGTCATTGTGTATACAGAGGAGAAATTGGAAAATCGTTCTCTCGAGTCGTAAGTCGCAAAATATGTTGATAATCAAAACAGGAGAGAGATAAATTGAACGACTTGAATGTACGATAAATCTTAGGCAAAATGCATGCAATAGTAATACGAGTCTCGCTTGGATTAACAAGTTGATTGCTTTTGTATCTTTTTAACTGTCATCTTTAACATCTTCACAAGTTACAAGCACGATAAAACATCTCAGTTTACTATGTATTATCATAATTCTTCTAATATTTTTATAGATTATATTACCTCTACTAAGAATATTACAAAAATAAATTTCAGATTTTTACAGAGATTTTAAATAAACGTAATACACTGAGTATATTAAAAGAGACACGCTTAGTGGCACTTTGCAACATTAAATAATTTCGTAATATAGAACAGAATTTCGTAATAAAATGGAACAGTAATAAGTTGATTAATCCAAATATGGTCTCATATTATTATTAAATAGCATGCTGGCAAAACGAGCGGCAGCAGCGATAGAAGCGCAAAAACGTCACTGTAGAATTGTATATATCTCGGTATTGGCTCCCAGCTCTCTCCATCCCCCATCACGCCTCCTCTTGTCTTACATGCTCTCATATACATTCTACCAACGGGTGGGATTATCGCGAACGGAAGGAAAGACGGTAAGAAAGGTATATTAGACTTATAAGAAAGATTAATGTTGTACATACAGTATTTCTCTCCGCTCCTCGCCGGATGTGCGGTCGAAGGAATTCGCGTGTCTGGCGCAGTTCGTACACTTCACATCACTATGAGTTATTACGGATCTTTATATTATTATCTAGTCATGGAGTGATAATAAAAATTCTATCATAATCTTAATCTCGCTGTGCCACGGTCTTTCATTTTTATTCTCAAGTATTTATTCGCACGCGGCGAATAAACCGCCTCGAGAGACATAGGACATCGATGGCGAAAAGGAGAACAGAACAGAAATTCGAGACGCTAAACGTAATATAATTAACACGACGTACGTCAAGAACATGCATTTGTGATTAACACATAAACTCCTGCATATCAATGGCACTTTATTCATGGTGATTATGTACAAATGCTACATAACGATATATGAGATAATTATTAATTATATATACACACATATTGCGAATTTCTGTTATTCATAAAGCAAAATACGTCAACAAACGAAGACAGACTCTAATATCGGCATTCGCGCCGTATTCAGCATTTGAAGGTCTTTTCCACAGTGAAAAAAAGAAAATCTACAAAAATGTCAAAAATATCATCCGCGTATCCCGTATAAATATATACAAATCTCAATATACAAATCCATCTTAAGCTCTCGTTTCGTTTTTTTTTTTTATATTCTTTGAAAACAGTTTATTTCTGTGTTCGTATGAAAATATCTGTCACTTAGAAATCTTTTCCGTTTAAAAATTTTGTAACACGTAATTCCTAGTATTACAGTATTACTGAGTATTGCAATTTTTTGTACCGATATGTATCGTTAGTTCTCTCACCTCAAAAAAATGTGAGAAGAGATAAATGAGAAACGCAGATAAAACACGATACATTGAATGAACAATTAATCTATGAGAAACACAATTCAACGAGTAACAACTTTCCTATGTTCTACTTCCCTTTTTTCACACTTCGTGCATAATATTTTTTTAATCAGTCAGTCAGTCTGTAATCTCTGTTAGTTAGTTGTCCGAAGGTTCGTCGTATGTCCTCGTCTTTTTGAGGATACTTCTTGTGACCATAAGTTGCTTTATTATCGCCTTTTCAACATTTTTCTTGTTCTTGTTTGAGGCCGATAAGTGCTCAAACGTATCCTCCAATGCTTTCCGAGTTTTCATCAGTCTTCGCTTTAATGCTTCATTCTCCTGTTTCAAAGCTTCAACCTCTTCAAGACCTGTAAAAGATAATTACAAAATCACTTATCATTTTAAAGTAAATTAAAAAACAAGTATTATTAAATAAGACTAATTAACCTTAAATTAAGAGTTTTCAAAAATAAGAAATATAATAAGAGAGAAGAGATTAATAACAAGTTTTTTAAAGCATTTTGAAACGCACCTTCTATCGGTAATGGACTTTCACTGTTTGAATCTCTGTGATTACTACCGTCTTCGTCGCTCAATAAGTTAGTCATAGATTCTGTGATTTTTAATGTGTCTTTCAAAGGTCTCATTGTATTAACGGCAGCGTCGCTTTCTATCCCCAAATCTGGCGAACAACTGGATTTACTGCGTCCTCCAAGTGCAGAGTAATTCGTCAGTTGCCAAAATTGCGAGACCTGTAATAAATTGTAGAAATCACGATCACGGAAACTTAAATGTTTTAAACAAAGAAGTGCGCAATATAAAATTTATTATAAAATATGCTTAACTCATTATAATATAAACTGATCACAAATGCAATCACATAAATCTTTATGCTAAATTAATAAATGTAACAGCAATTTATTTTTAATGTGCAATATTTAAATTAAATAAAGTGTGCATGCTATTTAGCGTCACATGCAATTGTTAGAAAGTTTCTTGAAGTATCATGATATGTATCAATTATTATAATTCGCGACTTGCACTTGTCCATTTTTAATATAATACGATCTACAAATGAAGCTTAACAACAGACAGCTACATTCAACACTAGAAAATGAACTAACGTTATAAGGTTGATATTCCTGCAGAATATCGCAAGTTTGCTTGAGCGTGGCGTCCGTAGGTATCGACGATACGCCGCTCGAGCTCGCCGCCGAATCGCTAGCCTCGCACACCGCCATGTGTCTCCTAAATTCTTTATTCGCCGTTTCGAGTTCTTGCACTCTTGCTCTATGCGATTCGTTGATCTGATTGAGATCGCATATCTATGCGACGACGTTACATCACATATTAGTAATGGCACACACCGGGAAACACTTTCATGAACTAATGCAGATTCGCTTACCTCTTTGCTGAATTTATCGTGCAGCGAACGAACAGTCACGTCATATCGATTTTCCATTTTCCTTATATCTTGCTCAAGTCTTAACTTGTCGTTCGTCAACTTGGTATTCTCCACGAGTATTTGACTATGCGAAAGAGTGAGATGGTCCAGTTCTTTTCTAAGAGTGGATATGGTTGTCTTGGCGGTTTCCGTTTCATCCTCTAGCTGTTTAATTCTCGCTCGCAACTGAAATGGATCAGATAATTAAAGTTTTGTAACCATTTTCATAACCAGTGTAAACAAGCAGTACGCACTCACCGATTCGTTCTCTTTATTGAGTATCAAAAGAGTTTCCGTAGTCTTTCTATCGGTGTTTTCCTTGTACTGCAAAAATTCAGCTTTCTGTTTGGTAATTTCGCTCGCCATTTGTTCGACATCGTTGATCTTTTTCTCCAATTGCATCTTGCGAACGCTATTCTGCTTGTTCTCCTTTCTCAACGTATGGAACTCGTGTATCCTCTTCTCCAAAGAAACTTGTAACTTTTCACAAAACCTTTGCGATTTCTCCAACTTCGTGATAAATGGCGTTAATTTTTCATCGATTACCTATAAAATTCAGCTTTTGTAAATTGAATCATTTATAAATTCCTAAATTAATGGGATGTTTATATCACAAATTAATTCAATTTTTAATTAAAAGTTTATAATTTAGCTTTAAAAATTAGTTTTAAAATAATATTTATTTAACGTGTTAATAAGCATGGGTAATTATTGACCTAAAAATATACAAATACACTTACACAATCGAAAGAAGCTTTTGTGATCAAGTCATTCCTTAGAGCGCTAAGTTCAGAATACAACATGTTATTCGTTTCCTTCAGCTCCTGTATCTGGTGGCTCGCGTCCAGATCAAGGTCGTTCTGATAGGTCTTATGATAAGGCACATAATCCGCGGAGTCCTCGGAGTCGCTGCGGGTCTTGGTGTACTTCGTGAATCTGGGACGGCACAGGTTCTTGTATTGCTTTTCCTGCAGACCGATTCTGGCCATGGAGACGGTCCGATCGGGTTCCGAGAACGTTTCTGAATCCGACTGCGACGCCTGATTTTTCGACGTCTCCACGACGTTGTCGGACCGACTCCTTTTCACGGAACCATCGATCCTATCGTTCACGATCGCACCACCGTCTTCCACGCTCATACCTTCAAGAGCGCGCACAAAATCATCCGACAGTATTTTGGAGCTGAGCAGAACATCGAGCACGATTTTCTTGTGCTCGGTACCAATAGTGTCCGCACGATCGGTATTCTTGAGCATCTCCTTCATGAACTTCACCAGGTCCTTCAGATGCGTGCGCAGTAGCTCGCAGTACTTCTTCGCCCGTTCCGTCTCGTTGCCACAACCATCGATTTCCGCGGCGATGTCGGGCTTCGACACGAGCTTCAGCCACTTGAGATAATCCACTTCTTTTTCGAGATCATTTCGCTGACTCGTCAGCCTCTGAACGCTCTCGCTTAAAGTCTTCACGTCCACCGTTTCGTCCCCGTTAATGTAATCGAGTTGAACAATGTCATTCGTGAAATTTACTTTAACACCGATTTCATTCAACTCGTGAATCAGATTTGTTAACTGCAAGCTGCTATCAACTTCCTGGACAATCTCGGGCTTATTACGGTTCCTGTCATGACTACACGATGCTGTCATATGATTGTGCAGCTTGGCGATCTCCTTGTTCTTGCTCCAGAGTTCTGTGTTAATCAACATCTGCAGATTCTGAGTCGTCGCATGCAATTCCTTCGTCAACTGTTCAATCTTGCGATTCTTCTCCTCGACCTCGACATTTCGCTGATTCAACTGCTCGAGCAGATCTTCCCTTCGCAGAGTATCGTCACGATAATTGGTGGTGGTAACTGCATCCACACCGTTCATCTCGTCGACATGCCTGAGGTTATCGAGTTGAGCAGTTTTGTTTTTCAAATCTTCTGTAACAATCTGCTTCTCCATCTCCAGGACCTTAATCTTTTGCTCCTTATTGAGAAGACGAACTTGGAATTCCTATAAAATGAAAAAGAAATAAGTTTATTTCATCTGTACCAAAATAAATTATAATTTTATATTTTTTAAATTGTTTTATTTTAAAAAACAAATATACAAATAAAAATATAGTAATGTAATAAATTAAAAATTAATTAAAAATTGTACTGTCATGTCTGTTGCATAGATATCAATTAAAATTAGTATATCATGTGTAAATTATGTATTCTTTTGTAATTTATTTGAATAAACAATATAAGATGTTACAACAATAACAAAAAAATTTAAGTATATCATTACAGTTACTACAAATATACTATATAAATTTATATATTGCTTTTTAAATTTAACATTTAGCGCTTCGTCTTTAAATCAATATTCTATTTAACGTTATTATTATTTAAAATAAAATATAATATATTTCCTGTTGAACTCTTCTATTTTATATTTGCATAATTATGCAATAAATTACTAGTTATATAAACACCAAAGAGAAATATAAAAGATAATGAACACAATATAATTAATAAGCATAAAATTTAATTAAAAAGCCGATAATATAATGTCATTCACTTATTTATGAGATTAGTTATTATTTTATTATTATATGTACATACAAATATATCGTAACTGCAAATTATAATTAATAAAATTGCAATAAATAAGAAATTATATTTGCATTATGACATACGTTAAATTCGACTTGCGTCCGTTTTTCCAAGAGATTCTTTTCAGCTTTTATTGTCTCGATTTGGTCTCGCAGGTCGCTAATCTTGCTTTCCATTTCTTCGAAACGTTGCTGCAAGCATAAAGTGTTGTTCCATATCAATAAAACTCAAAACGTTAGGTTCACTGGAAAACTGCTTTATTCAAATATATATAATTTTGATTACAATTAAATATAAAATTCATGTGTATAATGTAAGAACCAAGCTTTCGAGAAGTGATGAGAAAAAAATGCAAAGACATTACATGCAAGTTATACATTCTTATGCAGGAGAACAGTTACAATAATTTAACTTTTCGTTTTCTTAGACCAACATCGCGGCGGTACGAGTGTGACAATCGCCGGTGCCTAAAAGGGAAACACATTTCTTATAATTTCTCCTGTTTCTTTACTAAATAAATATGCCATTCTGAGACTTATCTAGTAAAAGAAACTTCAAAAATAATTGCTTCTACTGTACAAGAATATAATAACAAATTTTCTCGTCTTTAATAATTTGCGAATAAAATAACTTAAAAAAATATGATTTAGCTTATTAAAGCAATATAGTCTTCCATCAATAAAAACATTTGTCATGTAAGTTGTCATAAATCATCACTTGTTTTGTGTTAATTTTACAATCGTACTTAAATAACTCTTACAATTGTAAATTAAAATTGTAACTATTTTAGTAAAAAAGATAAACTCATATCAGAGTTATTTGATTTCGTTTACGTGAATAAAAATGTATTATATGGGACATGCATGTTTTAATAAGCTATGAATATATGTATAAAATTAAATGTTTGAACAGAATGCTCTTTAAATCATAGATTACTTAATAAATTTAGAAAATCTGTTTCTTTTTAACTCGAGATTATTAATCTTCTTCATTTTCAACATCAAATATCTATTTTGTCTATTTTCCATCATCAATATTACACATTTTAAAAATTTCTATATTCATATAAACTTAAAAATGCTGATATTAACAATAAGACTAATCAAATTATAGAACACGAATAATGTAAAATTGTATATTATAAAATGTATGTTAATTAATTTCTTAAGATTTTTAATCCATCAAAAGTATTTAATAAAAAATATTTATCTAAATAACTCAATAAAAATTATTGACTTTATTAACTTTTTAATTTAAATCATTTTCAGATTATTCTGTAATATGTACGGCTGAAAGAGCACGCTGCAAAGCAGAGAGGAAATCTATAAAGCCTGGCTAAGCACGACAAGTATCCTTTGAAGAAGATACTGAAAAAGACAGCACTCACAACAACAACAACACTTGACACTATACCTACCTCCATTCGCACTGAGGCGCACAGACAAGAGAACATATTTAATTGTCGTTGAACTTTTAACTCAACCGGAAAGCAGCAACGAAAACAGCGATTGATCAATCAACTCGCGAATAGATACTCTACGTCAGTGCTAGTGCGATCAGCACTGGTGAATATCCGTTAGCGTAAAAACTATGCCAATATAAGTTACCTATGCATCTGGTTCTAATTATTAGCTAATTTTGAATCGCTACAGTTTCCATGAAGCGCAATTATACAAACAAAATTTCTTCACTCTTCTATTTAAATTGTTTTTAATATATAATTTGTTTATTTTTCACAAATTCTTTGGCTATCTCTTTGTGCTCCCTTAACTTATTCGACGTGTAGAGCAAAGTAACAACTTCCTCCCGCTATGCTACGTTAAGAGTTAGCAATCGCGCGCTATTTTCGGAGCGTACAAACGCGAGTCGTTCTCTCGTGATATCGTCGAGATAGCTGGACGATCGGCGACGGATCTATCTCGTGTTGTTGTATTCTTTGTATTATATTATTCGTTCGGCGCTGCCGCGGGCTGCGGCGGCTGATCGGTCGAGATAAGTATTCGTATGAGGACTGCCGCGTATCGCGATGCATAGACCGTAAGAAGTCGCGAGAAGAGGCGGCGGCTCTATTAATAGACGACGACCGCGTCTTCCCGCACGGTATTCCCGAGATACCAAACGAGAGTCGCGTTTAATGCCTCCAAAATCTTTCTCTGACCCACAGGCTCCTTAGAAAACTTTAGAATATTGACAAGAAATTGTAAAACGCACACGAAAACGTTTTATAAGACAAAAGTAAAGGAAAAAGAAGACTAATAAGAATTATGGAAGAGATATGTGATATGAAAGTAATAAGAAATAAAAAGTAATAAGAAAAATTAAGGAAGCAGTAGTTGGTTCTATAGATATTTATAGAATTCAAATTCTTTCCTTTATTTTGGATTCTAATTATTTAACCCTATGCTGATATTTTTCTATTACTTTTACACAATTTTTTAGATATCCTAAGATTGATGACACCCTTTTCTAATAAATTTAGATGGAATAATTCAAATTTCTATATGCGATATAAACTCTGCAAAATTGTTCTTTTACATTTTACGGAAGGTTATAAGGTTTAAGAAAGTTTAAATAAATAACTGAAAAAAATATGTAAGCAATTCACTAAAGTATGTAAATAAAGATTAAACAAAAAGATGCAATTTTACAATTTTGTTTGGAATTTGACATATCATTTGATATTTTATATTTGAGTATAAAAAGATGTTGAAACAATTAATACATTTTTCTAATAAAGAATCTTTTACAGTGAAGACTATAAAGGATCTCAGAGACTTTTTTATCCTCAATGCAGTAAACTCAAGTGAATATACCTATAAGATTTCATGTCTCAGAAATAGTAGACTCTATAAAAAGAGTCCTATTATTTATTATATTAATTAAATACCATTAAATATATTAGAATGAAATCATGTAATGCTATCGTGAGAATTTTGAAACGTTAATAAAAAGCTATGCCCTAAAGAAACAGTTAATTTGAAAGTTAATTATTAAATATTTACAACATTTAAAACATTAATATTGTGCAAATAAACTATAAAATTGTACAAATGCACAAATTCCTATGTATAATAAAGTGTAATCGTGTCTGTTATGGCATATTTTGAATACAATTGCTGAAATAAACTACAATAAACAATGTCCAAAATATGAATTGTTAAAATTTATCTAGTACATCGCATTGATTACATCTTATATATCATAAAAAATAATAAAAAATTACCTTGTATAAATAAAAAGTGAAAAGTACAAGATATAGTCAAAAATATTTAAAATAAAGTACCACATAGTAAATCTCATTTCATGCACTGCAAGAAAAACGGTTGTCAAGCGAGATAGTTAAAAAACAACAAAAATCATGCAATCATAATAACGATGGCATAGAGCAGAAAAGGAGAAACAGAAGTTAGATGAATTTAGCGATTCTGAAAAGAAGAGAGAAACTTCCGATATTTCAAGCTGTTCAATCGTGCTTCTCGGCAATCAAAGCGTGTCTCTACGTTTCAGGATTTAAAATAATATTTAAAGATAAGCATCGCATAAATCTTTCAAAAGGTTGAGTTGTCAAATGTACAATTCTGAAACGTAGAGATCGGCAAACAAGATTAGAGATGAATCGCAATATTGACCTGTTTGCAGGATTCGTTTTCAATATCGTCCACGTTCTTAACGCTGAGATCCTTCAACGAGACGGGACTGTGGCTGTTTCTTCTCTTGCGTAACTCCGAATCTAGTTCCATGATCTGCCGTTCTTGGTGGGAATCCGTATCTCGCCTGTGTTTCTCGCGCTCCATAAAGCCTTGTATCGCTCTAATGGCCTTCTTATACTCGACCTCCAGTTTTTTCAATTTTTGCTCTGAATTTTCTGCCTGCTTCTGGGCGTTGCACAGTTTTAATATCAACTGCTTTCTAGTATCTTCGTGCTGTTTTAATTTATTGTCCCTCTCTTCCAGTTCCTGCAATTAAATTCTTTTTGATAAGACCAGATTACCTTGTAGCAAAACAGGCAATAAATATTTCATTAACCTTTATAAGATTCTTGAGTTCCTTGGAATCTCTGCCGAGTGGTGAACTCAAACTCGTCGCTCTTTCTTTACTCGATTCACAATCATAAGAACCATCATGCTTTGTTGTACTTTGTACATAAGATACTTTCTGTCCCGTAAATGGTGATAGATAATCGTTTGTCAACGAAACTAAAGCTGAGGGACTACTAGGTGGCGAACGCTTGCCATAATTATTTTCGCACTACAAAGTACAATAAATATAAGTTACAACAGATATAATAGATATAAGTATAATAAAAAAACCTGGTATGTAACTTTTAACACAGATAAATTTGAGAGCTTCTACAGCTGTATTATCAGTATATATTTTTCATTAAAATCATTTATTCTAAAACTAGATTTATTATATGTATACTTATTATCAATAACGTCAAAAATAAAGAATAAGATATTTAGCGTCAAGAAAAAAAAAAGAATAGTAATGCCAGATTATGATTGTATCAAAACGATTAATGTCTCAAGATTCAATAAATTTTCCTAGCACTAATATATATATCTTATTTCAAAAAATAAAAATCGATTTACTTCACCTGTGATAGCAACGCTCGATGCTTATTGTTGATCTCTGTGAGGGCGTCATCGCGTGTTTTTACAGATGCCCTCAATTGAATGATCTGCTTTTTCCTTTTTTCGGAAACCTGGCTGATCTCCTCATATGCCTGACACCTTTCTTCCAACAATGTGCTCTTCTGTTTAAGCAATCTGTCCCGTTCGGCAAGATCGTTCTCGTATTGCTGCACGATTGAATTCTTCTTGAATAACTGGTCCTTCAGCTCCTTCACTTCATCGCACAGTTCCTCGATATTTCGCACTCGATCATTGTCCTGCTTCTCCCGCAGCCGCGTTTCCGTGTCTAATCGCTCTCTGAACTGATCCCTCTCGTTTTCAAGTTCCTGTGCCCAATTGCGCTCCTCTTCCAGACTGCCGGTTATCTGTTTCACCTAAACCGCAAACGTCACGTATATTATAAATTCTCCCACTCGCGCGTGCCATTTTCTTTTTATAGACATTATTATACAATCGTAAACATCGAACAAACAAGCACGTAGAACTTATTAATCATGTATCATAAAACTATATGTTTTGTCAATGAATTCGAGTTATAGCGTAAATCAAGTCATCGCGTAATAAAAATTTCCTAACTTTTCCTAGTTTCTTTCGGCACTGTGGAAATGATCAATATTCAACTCGCGGTAAGGAAAAGAAACAAAAGCTGATAATATACTACTCTCATTTAGAAAGACTATCATAAACTGGAGAAACTAACATTTTTAGAATAAGAACGTCTATAAAATTCCGAATAAATTATTAATTAAATCCTGTTTAATACGAATTATTAGACATCTTTTTATAATGTATTAAATCACTTTTAAGTAATTTTTCTGTTTAAAGGTATTATATGTATATAGAAATATTATTTTTTAGTAATTATACGTAACTTTTATATATTTAAACTTTTTCTTATTACTATTAAGAGTTAACAAGTAATTTATAATATTATTGATTAAATTTTTTGTCTTAAAAAGATAGAGTTAAAATATTCTTATAAAACAGAGTTTATTAACAATATTAATCATCATTAAGGTATATTTTATACGGGCATACCTCTGCTTCGAGGGAAGCCACCAGTTCTTCCATCTGTCGCAACTTTTCTACATTTTTTAACGCCTGTTCCGGAGTGATGCCAAATGTTTCCTTGTAATACGAGGATGTATCTAGTTCCCTTTCTCGATACTCTGCTAATTCTGGGGTAACAGAAAGAATTTATATAATAGAGGCGTAATAATAATAATAACTATTAGAATAAATAAAATTTATATTACATTCTAAAATAAATTTGAATATTTGCACAATAATCAGGAAGTAGACAAAACGAGACAAAAAAGTTCTCTTACCTCTTTCAAGCTTGGTTACTTTTTCTCGTTCTTTTTCAAGCGATTGCTGATATTGATCTTGAGTACGAGAAGTTGCTGCTTTCTGTTCCTCATATAATTTAAAAGCTCTGGCTGCCTGATTAAGCAGGACCTGCTTCTCCATCAATTCCTTCCTCAATTTCTTCAACTCTTCCTGAACACCAGTGATTAGTTAATAACACAATAAACAATAAAATCGCAATAATTAATATAGACTTACAGGTCTTATATAATATATAATTATGTTCATAATAATTTTTCCTTCGAAAAATTCGCGTCTAAAGTGAACAACTTGCAATGATAAAAACAAGCTAGAAGAATTGAGACGAAACAAGCTATGATATTGACAATGTCATAGAAACAAATATAAACAAAGATAGTTTACAACAAAATTTGTTAAACGGAAACCTCAAACATATTTGGCAAATATTTTAAATCTCTTTCATGAAAACAAAAGTGCAAAAGAACTACTGTAAAAAAATTTTATTCCACACGTTCAATTAATTCTTTCAAAAAGAATTGTTCTTTCGATTATATTATCACATAGAAACATCTATATTATTATTTTTTTTAGTACATTGAATATTAATCAACCTTTAATTCTACGTTCGTTTTGATTACGTCCTCGTCGGAGAAACTACTGATGCCATTTCTTGCAGGGTTTCCCTCCTCCAACAGATAAATTCGCAACTTAAGCTGGAAGTTCTCCTTTTTCAGGTTGCTCAATTCATCCTCGTACTCCTTCATGGTTCTACCGTAACCGACTCCACCTCCACCGCCTCCTCCACCATCTCCTGATCGCGCCATCGTCGTTCCGTCTTTGTCCTCGGAGGAATTTTCACCATATGCTCTTGTGTTTTCACCTGAAACAGATATTTCCTTGTCGATAAACTTAAATTCGTTAAATATATGTATACGCATACACAATATATGCAATGAACTTTAGAACTTTACTATTAAATTATTAAACATTCTTCTGTAGATATAAATAATAATTTCTGCTCACACATGTATATTTAATTAATATTTCTTATGTTTCTAACGTAATTTAAGACGTCACGAACAAATGGCTAAACTATAAATTATTTATACAATACAGTGTTCATATAATTATTGCTAACACATCTGTTGCTTCACTTATTCCTCGAATACATATCCTTTACATTAAATTGTCCCGGCAATGCGTTTCCTGCACGCGGTACCTTAAAAGAGAGCAATGCGACGATATCACGTGCAAAGCTGGTGCGGGTAATCCCAGTTTCGCCTTCATGCACAATTTTCTATCTGTCATTCGAATAATCACGAATTCCCAACTCTGACCGCATTATTTCCGACACGTGCTGATGAAATCCGTATGAATTTTGAGCAACCACGATATGCCACATGTGCCGCATTAAACCCGAAATTAATCATCTTGAAATGCTCGATTTTCCTCGCTCGATCGCTCGATGTCGAAAATAAAACGATACAAATAAAAGAACATCATTCAGTTACTTTCAATGCCTAGTTTTTTACGAAAATATTCTCTAAAAAATATATTATTTCCTAACAAAATATTTCTTAAAAATATAATACAAACATTCTTAAGCTATTATTTCTATAAATTTTAAACAATTATTGACATATGTTTATTAAACGCTTGTCTGGGAAATTATTTCAAAAATAGCACGTGCTTCCAGTGTGCGTTATCAATATACGAACCTTTCATCTAATTAGCAATCTATATTTTTGTTTCAAAAAAAAATACTATATAATTTATTATTTATATTCCCTGTAGAAATATAATTTCTTTTTCATTCCACGTACACAATCTATTAAAAGTTCAGGGATTGATTTATTTCCGGACGCAATAACGGTTAGTTAATATGAATGAAGCCTCCTAGCTGACTCTCCCGAGTCCACCATATGTTTTATCGTCGTCATCGACTCGGTAGTCGTGTGCAGTGCGCGTTTAAAATTTGTCAGATATTTTTGCGTTGTCACAATTTTCGAAATAAAACAGAACCGCGATAAAGTTTTGCTTTAAATGTGAAAAAAAACCGAAAACGTACAAAATGATGAAAATTGCACATGGAAATGATTGCCTGGCTCGTAACAAGATATTTCTGTAAAACTCACGATGTTGATCGCTTTTTCGACTCGCAAGAGATCGAGAATTCGTCCTGCTAGGTCGGACTATTAACCTTTCTGTTAATGAACGAATAATCGGATATTTAAAGACTTAAATGTTAAAAATTTTTATATTAATCCGCGAATTGTTTTTTGACGCTTCAGATCCCTATCCTTGATGTAATAATAAGAAACAATTTTCAGTAGATTTTATGTTGATATCAATTTTACCTTTGTTGCTTGATATCAATTTAGCACGGTCGCGTCGCCACGATGTCGAATTGTACGTCATTCGATATAGTCCCGGGTACGTCATTCGATGAGTCCCGGGTACTCATTGATATTTTGTGAAATGTTGACGATACGCAGGTACGTGAGTACCCGGGTACCCATATATTGAAGAAAAAGTAAAAAAATGCATTAATAAAAGAGTCAGTGTAGCTTTTAAAGCGAATTCACCGAGTCAGACCGGATTTGTAGTTTACCAATCGGGAGAGTTCTTCCTGCTACTTGACAAAAATGCTCCGACTCATTCCTCGCTGATTGTCACTAGATTTTTGTCTCAAAAATCGATTACCGTGATCCCCATCGCACTAGCCGGATCTGGCCCCGGCTGACTTTTTCTTATTTCCAAAGCTGAAAATGGTCCTCAGAGAAACTCGTTTTGAGAATGTGCAGGCAATTCAAAGCAGAGTGAGAACGATCCTAAACACAATTCGTGAAAGAAGACTTTTGCACAACTTTTCAGAGCGGTTATAGGAAAGGTGCCAGGCATGTGTAGAGAGGCAAGGAATGTATATTGAAAACTAAAAAATAAAATTTTGTCTATCTGTAAAATTCGATTTTTAATAGCATCACTCTCCGAACTTTTTCAACAGTGTATAATATAGCATAAACGATTCTTATAATTTGTATATATATATTTTAAATAAATCTCACACACACGTTGTGCTATTTTTAGAATATTCTTCAGATAAGCATCTGTCGAATCAATCAGTCTATTTTCGGTCTGTCTAGGCAGATCTAACCGATGCCAAATCCACTTCGCAAGATCGGGCGGCGCCGTTGCCATGCACCTTTAAAATTAAATTATTTTGGCGCATCATCGAGCGCCAAAAAGTTTCTTTTTTAACACTCTCGGAGCGCAAACATCCAAGAAAATCTGGCGCATATATAACATATTTTTCCTATTACACTTTTAAAGAAAATTCAATATTTATATATCACTTTCTATAATAATAAATATTGCTATGCCCTTTATATTTTTTATAAGCCAATTATTTTTTAAAATTATTTTTAACGTAATAAATAAATAAATAAATTTATTAATTTTAGAGCACGAAAAGAAATATATTCAAATGCAAATAACAAGTTTGGCTATTTTTACCTTACGTTAAAAATAACTATTACAATAAACTGCGTATAAAAATTTCTCTACGCGGTCTAGACCAGATAATTGCGAGAATTTGTAAGTGGTCGGTAGTGAGCTCACACATTCAGCTTTGAAAGAGTTAATGATCGTTTCTTCTCTCTTTTCTTCTCTCCGCGTTCTCTTCAAAGAGAAGATACTATTGCATCTTTAAAGCTATCCTCATTTGTCACTTGCTAGTAATTGCTATAGCAAACAGAAAGCAAACAGTCGCGCTACAATATTCGCTACAATATGTCTACGACTTGATCGCATCAATTTATGAACGTATCGTTAACAGCAATCGCATTGCAATCACAAAATCGGGATGAATCAATATTCAGTGCACGTCTCACGCTCTACAACGATTCAACTCTAATCAGCAATAATATATTGATAATAGATGAGTCTTCAACATCTAGCATACCGAACGTGATTTCGATCCTTACTGGCTCGCTCTCGAGATTCCCTGGGAGAAGAAAAGATCAGCTGCGACCTACCGCATCCCATTCCACGAAAAGCGCGTTTTTGAAGTCGTTACATTTTTAAACGTAGCGAAATCGCGACAGGACCGAGCGGGACATCTCGCCTCACCACAAAGGAGACTCACCCGACGGCTGCACAAACACTAACTGCGACAGAACAACAAGCAGCACCGAAGATACAAGGCTATAACTTGTGGTTAAAATTATATTCTAAATGCGCGTTTGAGGTGTCGTATATAGATGGATTTCTCGAAGGTCGGACGTCCACGTGCGTTTTCCAATTGATCGCCTCTGAAACGCATGAATGAAATATCCTGCCCTTTAACTCGCGGTAAACTACTTCGGCATTTAAGAGGCTAATTCTCACAAATTTGACATTTTCTACAAATTTTTATTAATTTTGCGATACAAAGAAATCTGCAAATATAAATAAGTAAAAAAAAAAGAATTTTAAAAAACTTATAAGAGAGTAATTTAAATCATTTTATGTGAGATTTTTGTATTCCTTTATTTTTATTAATTACAGCAATATTTTATATTACAGTGTGATAAAAGATTCTGTTATATCTGCTCAGGATTGAAAATAAAAAGTTAAGAATAAAAAAAATACCATTTCTGCAATAAATACCAGAGTATATAAAGCAATTTAAAATGTTTGCATGAATACGTGGTTCAATAATCGCAAGTTTGCGACAAATCTATATCGAAATTAGCTATGTACAAGCTATGTAGACGTGGAACGTCTCCGGTGGAACACGAATGATTCATCTTGCCTAATTAACGATGTACAGGTTCTCCATACTATTCGTAGCCAAAATATCATGCTGTCGCGTTGAATAACAGCTGACAAAGATTATCCGCTGCAGCATCCTAATTCTAATTACGTCTTTTCGTTAAAATCCGATTCATATCATATTCATTGTACCTATACTGTACCGTACTATATGAGAATAAATATTACATTCTTTAAAATTTTATATTCCGCGTTGATAATATGCAGAAATATGAACTTATAAATAAAACAAAAGAAAATAACTTTTCCAGACAGATCTTTTCCTCGAGGCAAGGTATTTTTACGAGTGCGAGGATTTCGTTATGGGCGCAAAAGTTAATACAGTCGTAACGTCAAGCATAAGTTCGTTTTTCAGCTGTCATCGATGGGGAGGCCATCGCGTGTCTTAATAGCCGACGTAAAAAGCCTGGGGAACTTAAAAGAGCAGAAGAGACGCGAAAGCTTTGTGCTCCCACTAAAACAAATCTATTTCCTGTCTGATCGGTCGGTCGGTCGGCCGTGTTGTTTTCGCAATGGGCGATTTTCGGCAGAAATGCAACTGTAATATCGATTCACGCCAGCGAGTAGATACCGCGAAGCGAGAGAGCGAGCTCACGTATTTATAGATGACACATTTAGGCCAGAACGGTTTAAACTATCTTTATTTTGGCAGGTCAGCCTCCGCGGGCCTCCACTCGTTGCTCTCTCCAGATCTCCGATCTCTGGTCAGTCCCCGAACGGCAATTAAAATCTCAACCACCGACCAAAGACCTTACGCTGCTCCCGATTTCGCCTCGACGAGAATATTTATGAAAGCGAATGCGCTGTATCTCATCACTTTTGTTATTCTATTTTAGAATTCTAGACTATTGGTCTAGTAATAATAAACTATTAGTATCCTGATAGAAAAATCGATGCGAGTTTAAATAAATTAATAGACTTTCTATAGATCAAACACGGACAGATATTAAGCAAAATTAACCAAATTTATTTTACTAATTTTATAGACAAATTATATATAATTTGTCATAAAAAACCAAAATAAATTGTTATAATTATAACATAATTTAAAAAATAGACTATCAATTTAATTTCATGAAAAAATTTGCTTTTTTGAACACGTTATTTAGGGTTCTCATATTATACCGCAGTTTATACCTATTAATACATTACATCTGGCACATTACAATGATCACATTACAATATATATGAGTCATCCTACATTACTATCATCCACGAAATAGTTTCTTATTGAGCGCTGGGCTTAGAACGACCGGCACTTCTCTCTCGTAAAAGCGCGAAATTGAAGCTGAGGCTTTGGCTCGCTCATCTCCGAGTAACGAGAAACGGGCCAATAATTCCTACGGTAGACCTAGATTAGAAACAAACGATATTGCCAATTTATTTCGAGAGCCCGGCTACTAGTAGGGCGCGACGCCACGTGTTAGTGGCTCGACGACACTCGATGTGTGACACCCTAACAGACTAGGCGTCTGCTTATCGGCAGGATGTGATTGCAGAACGATAAATCGAGTTCATCTCACGATCAGTCAAGAATTGAATTTTACATGCGTGATTTCATAACATATTAAAAATACAAATCCTGTTGAAATACACGTCTGCATCGCCAAGCATGTAATGTCACGTTGAAAAATTCAGTTTACCAGGATATTGCATAACTCAAAGCGTCATGTAGAATAATCAAGAGAGAAAAGCTTGTATAGGAAGAACAGTTCAGTTTTACAGATTATTATTACAGTTTTTCAGATTATTTTCTGGAAACAAACATTTAACTTCTCGATTTTTTAATGTTGTTTACTTTTGTATTTTATAACTTAAACATATCCATATTATTATCATCATTATTATAACTGGGTCCACCCGTCACTTAACGAAATCTGATGAAAGTATTAAAAGAAACTCCTAGAGTTCTTTTAATACTAATGCTTTCGTAATTTTCTAAATTAATACATTGTAAAAATTCATGAAGTATATTTTAAAGAATTTATATTTATGCACAATGCAGAATATAACAATAAATATAAAACTTTGCGCTGAGTATCCAATGATAATAAGAATTATATGCTCTCAAACATAGGAAACCATTTTTCTAATTATAAACAATTAAAAATAAAATACTCTTTCTGCAAGTTAAACCACAGGAAGCTGCACTGAGAAAAAGGTTATACTGTGAACAACCAACATATTTTTGCTGCGAGAACTAGTTAATTTTGCAATAATAACAAAACCTTTTGTGGGAATAGCAAAGTTGAACAAAACTTTGCTATAGCAACAAAAGTTTTGCTATTATTGCAAAATTAGCTCTCGCAGCAAAAAATGTTGGTTGGTCACATAATAACAAAACCTTTCTCTCAGTGTGGAAATAAATGCGGAATTATATTTTTCTCCTGTGTTTCAGAAATAAATACACGCTCTGTCTCGCTACTTTGTTTGTACCGTTCGAGTGGTTCTTCTTCCCCTACCACGTCGTCACGAACACGTTTCTGGACCCCCGAAATAAATGCTCGCTTCCTGTAACGCGAGATCGCGGCAGACATTTTTCAGACAATGATACAAACAATCATTTCGGTCGGGATTAGAAGACTAGCTAATGTTATTAATGACATCCATATCCTATATGCACTAATTTCGTTTAGCGACATGCAACTCGACCTTGACCATTTTACCATTTTAGATCCCCTCGAGAACCGAATCGAAGTGCGGATGTGGTCCAATTGATATAATTTAAGCACTGCTAGATTGTTACGATGACGTAGAACAAATCATGAAATTTGGGTCGAGCAGTTATGCTCTTTCAAACCCTTTAAATTTGAAACATTTGAGATGAAAACTTTGAGAATCATATAACCAGGATATATTAATATCGGCCGATTATATCATTGACAAAAATTAGCAACACTTCATTGAATTATTTATTTAAGATTAGTGCCTTCTTATATAATATCCATAAACTTTAATCAAAAGATTAAATCCATATGAGAAAAGATCAAATTAAATCACTAAATAATTATTAAAATAATTTATATTGATCATTAAAATTCATATTGTATTGCTAAATTTATCTCTGCTAGTATACTTGTAACTTTAAAAATTAATCTTATGCAGCATATACAATTTACATAGTGTCGCAAGTTTTCTGTACATCGATCTCTAGGCCAACTCTTACCAAGCAGATTCTCCGAAAGTGACGGTCTTCTTGGACAGATTCACGAACGAGATCGCGGAAGCGTAAAAATTGGCAGATAAGTACCTACATAGTGCGAGACGCACGGTTACTATACTCGTCGTTCGCTCGAGTACAACCGCGAGCGAGAAAGTTCGTTGGCCTCACACCACGGCGTGAGATACAATTACGCGGCCATGGTGTCACGTGCTTACGTATATCTTTCTTTTTAATTAAGAAATATAAATAAAAAATGAGCTTTAGCTTCCGCTATCCTGCTCCATCCAGATCAAACACGCGTAACACGTAGATCTTGTTCCTGTTCTCATTCTTCTCATTATTCTTAAATTAGGTTGCATCATACTTCACTTTCCCTCAAAAATTTATCGCACTATGGCTCACAAAATATGTCTATGTATAAAAGTGTATAATGCGCAAAGGTATATTAAGTATTTGCAGTGTATTGAACTCGGGTCCGTGGGTTCGCTAACAATATAAAGCCTATAAATGACAGTGCGGGACAGTTATCCTGGCGGGATGCAGGATATTCTCCCTGATCCATACACAATACGAAATCTCCGTATAACAATGCCAAACAATCGCTGGCTAACGGCGGAAAATGCAGATCATGCGAATGGGAGTAACGAACTGTATACCGCGGCACACAAATTAGCGGCGACCTCCTATGCATTTTCACGTGGCCTCTGAACGGACGAATGCAAATGTTCGTTGTATATGAGAGCGGATGGGAAGTACGGAGAGGATATATGCGTTATCTTGAATATGAAAACTGGAGATATACTCATTCCAAAATTATTCCGATTAGAAGATTTAGAAGAAAGATAATGCATCTTAATACCGAGGTTATTCTAAATTTAAAAAATCCATTTGCGTCTGATCACAAAAGGTATATTTAACGTGTGGGCTGAGAAACGCGCTTTATGGATTCTGCGTCGAAAATAGTTCATGTTTGTGTTGGACGGGCAAAGCGCGCCGATCAAAAATTTGGATATTAAACCCGTAAAATTCAATTGTTAGGTAGAAATAGTAACGTGTACGAAAAATATTTGTAAATTAAAAATAATCTGAGTTTTCGAATTCTATTGCTTCCGACAAAATTTTAATCTACATTTATTCTCTCTGTAACTATATATTTGCTTTGCCTAATGTTTTTTAGTAAAGATTGATTAGAAAATTTGACAAATTTTCAATTTAGAGAGTATAAATTAAATTCCAAGAGTAGAAACAGATAAAACTTATCTATTAATGAATTCTGAATTTTTTTGAAGAGTATTGAATTAATGATTAAATTATTATTACAAATAAATTCATATAAAAAATAATAAACACCATAATTTGCTGTTAAATAATAAGGAAATTTATGTATTCTTGTAGAGATAAATGCCTATCAAAATAGATTAACTCTAATATTTCGCGATCGGGACAAATTGTAGCTATCTAGGAGCAGTATAATTGAAAGTGTGGTCAACAGCATCACATGCACGTTACATCTGCAACCATAATTGGAATAGAACCGGAGGGGGATTCAATTACTTAAGGGAAATGACCAATAAAGGTAGGCGTGCAGGGGAAAAAACCACATAATCGAGTCACCCTATCGTGCTCTGCAATATCGATGACGACTCGCTCAAGAGGCGTACCGATCCGTCGAGATATCTGCCGATATATGATATAATCTCCGCTACAAGGTCGTAAATAATAAATACGAGTGTAATCGTTCGCTATACGATCGCTACGATCTTCCGCCTCGCCTTCGCCTTTATAGAGCGTAAAATTATATCCGGCTATTCTTAGGAACGCTCTTCCCGGCGAAAGAAATATTAATTGTACGCATCATCGAAGAAGCACGACACACACAGATAGATAACAGAAGGAAAAATTTAAAACATTTAATTATCTGATCTTGGAACTTCGCTTCTTAGATTTATAATTATTTCTTTTCTGCCTCATTTAAGCTTTATTTTTATTTTTATCTTAGCTCAAATATTAGGAATTTTATAATTGGTTATTATTAATTAATTAATGCGATACAAATTTATTATGCTAAAGACTGGCATAATATTATTGTATCAATAAAGATTTACCAATTATATCACGTTACTTAAGTTTGACAAGATACCTATACAAATGTTACTCACCGTTCGTCAATGGCAGGGTTTGACTCAATGTGATGTCCTGCAACGGCATATTGGTGCTGCAATAAAATAGAATATAGATAAAAAATTAGTCACAGTATTATTCGATTATTAATATAAGTAAAACATCTTAATTTTGATCATAATATAAAATACAGTAAAAAGTAAATATATATATAGACATTTCTTTATATCAATTTCTTATAAATATACTAAATGATTCTAATGCTTAACACGTGCAAAAGAGTGTTACTGAAATATAATCGTATGAAAAAAACAAATTCCATACGACAAATTACTTTAGCGTTATTGGAATGGAATGTAATGAACTAATGAAAAACGGTGAATGAGTAGCTATTTCCGGAATAAAACCAAAAATGGTAAGAAGGTACGTGCTTCTGGTGAGATATAACGAGGACCGAATTAGATAAAACGACAAAACGTTTGAAAAGGATCAAAGTGAGCATCGAGGGTTCTATTTTCAGGACTCCAATGGGACGTTTAAAGCCAAAAAACTGACATAACAAAGCCAGCCTCGACACGTAAGCGAGTATACAATGATTTACAAGAGCACGAAGAGCGCGAATAAGGATTGCCTGCCAATATTATTAATAGTACGTTAGTTATTAATAGTCCTGCAGTTTTTCGAAACATCGCCCTCGCAACTTTTTATGATGATTAAAGATTTAAAAGTAATGTATTATTGTCATGTATTAAACTTATATTTATATATCTAAATTGCAAGAACTACAATGTATACATAATCGTGTATGAAGGAATTTTAATGTAACATTTTTCGTTACAAACTATTTTTAAAAATAAATAATTTATAATTTATATTATTAGTATTTGATTAATCTCACATTATATTCTTCTGTAAATATATGTATTTTCCATGATAATTGTTAAACGTATATTATTTTTATCAACTGAATAAAATCAATTAGGTAATTGTTAAGTATTTATGAGAAAAAACTATGACGCTAACAAAATATTTCCATCAAAAGTTTTCAGTACGTAATAACGAAACGTAACAAGTCATTTTCGTAATGACTGCAGAACAGAGCCTATTGTGTGAAATTAAGTAATCGTTTATGCGGAATTTATTTCGTCCGGGCCTGCCAAGCTCTGCCTAGAAGTCATTACTGATACAGTTTAAGGTGACGCAGTGTTTGCTACGAGAGTATATTAATTCACTGCAGCCGAGCCGTCTCGCAGCTCTTTCGGGCGACGAAAGAGCGGCAGGAAACCACAGGGTTTCCAGTAAGGTTTTATTTAGATTTCACGTAAATTCTATTTCTCTCTCACTCTCTTCAGTTCCGTCTTCCGAAACGTGAAATGGATAATTAATCTACGCTTCGCGCGTCCTTTACGTTATACTGCATGACGAATCGCACCAACGAGCCGATGCACGATATCCAAGAAGGATATGCGAGATGTTCTAAAATTGGTATAATTGTCTTTGAAGAGATCGTAAGAGTAGCTAAGAATTACAACAGTTGAATAACGCGGTTAAAAATTATAGTTTTGTTTTTATTAGACTTATAAACAAATAGAAGAAAGTGGGGCAAAGTGGGCATGTATAGGGGCAATAGCGGCAAAGTGAGCACTTGCAATCAATTTTTATGTATTATTATAAAGTTATAATAATTGCATTTAAAACTTCTATTGGAATGTATAAGATAATAATAATAAAAATTAAAAATTACATTGTTTTATAATAAATACATACAAATTTATTGCAAGTGCTCACTTTGCCCCACTCTCCCCTACAGACCGTGAGACTTTCCCTTCACTGAGAGAAATTTCTGGTGACGCTATCCAGAATTCAGAATCAGTTTACCAAACAATATAGTGAATAATCGTGTAACAAGACATCTAGTTAATAATACCAAACTATCTGATAAGCGCATGTCTGATTAGAATTACAGCAATGTTTAGATATGTTTACCAAACTGTCTAGTATAATTATTCACCCGACATAAAAAAAATTATTTATTTCGAAATTTCATTACTATTTTTTACCTAAATTTGTTTCTTAAGATGCAGTCTATGATTATAAATATTTTCTCGTATGTGAAAAACACACTTACCTTGGTGGGATTCGAACTCAGGACCTCGAGACATCTGCATCGTGAGCCAACTGCCTTACGTGGTAGACTACTTCTTAATTCGATGTAAGCGTTATATATAGTCTACATATGTCATAACCAGCGCAAATATATAATTTTTCAAAAATCATTTTAAGAAACAAATTCAGTTTAAAAAGAGTAATAAAATTTTGAATTGGATATATGATATAATATTTCTTAATGTCCGGTGAATGTCAGAAACCAGTGCCGGCTCATTATGAACTTTTGTGTTCGTAACTATATAGTAAGACGGAAAAGAAAGCGTCTTAGCGAGAAACAAATGACTCGCGGCATCACACGGCCGGGTACCACACGTCTAGAAAAGATTACCAACTGTCTAGATACCTATAACTAAATGTCTCTGTATAATATCGACTACTATGACGCGTTAAGACGCCGTTATCAGAATTTTGGATGTATGAACCACATATCGCATACAAGTTCACTATGCTACGTCTCACAAAACGAGTATAGTTTTAATCACCAACAAATTTCTCTCAGTGTTTCAACGAGATGCGTTATGCTTTACAGAAATCTGCAGTAATTTCAATCTCTTAATGCTAATACTTCGTATTAAAAATTAATACAATAAATCATTTAAAGAGCGATGACTCAATACAAAAATTTCATTTAAAAAAAAATCCTTCGAAAATTATTAAAAAATCTATATATTGCTGTGTACATGTACTTCGATAGTTTAATATACATTACGTTCTATCGCTGCGAAAGATTAATCATATTCTATAGAGAATCTTTATCATAAGGTAAATATTTATACTATAATTTTGCAATAAAAATAATTACTAATGTAGATCTTAAAATATAATGAATACCGAATTACGGTGTAAAAATGAGTCCATCGCGGAATAAAGTACATAAAAATCTAAAGCACATAAGATTCCGTCATTCGCGTAAACAGGAAGAACAAATCCAAATAGTAAATACATGATAATATAGGTGTGAAATACAAGCTAAAAGCACACAGTGACACAGAATCGATAAGGGGACTCACGTAGTCTTTGCTTACAAAATTTTTGGAAATTTAATTTATTGATTTGGCGTTATTTATATCAAATAGTTTATTTGAAAGCTTATTGTTCTGTAAATATATATAAACCTGATACAAAATTTCCATTGAGAAAAAACTGAATATATAAACTTACCTTTCGTTAGACTTAGGTATATATAAACTTCTTAATCTCAATCAGGAGATAACACACAGACTATTTATCGTAAGAGAGCTTCATGTTTGACTGCTCGAGTCACTTTGATATCTCGTCAAACCTCTATTTATCATAGTATTAGGTACAGTATAAAATAAGCAAAAAATATGTTATTTTTGTAACGACTTTCTTCCAATTAGAATTTTTCAGGTAAAACTATACAAAGTAATTAATTGTAAAGTAATATCTTCTTACATTCGCATGCTATTAATTTATAATTATTTTATAAAAAAATAAATTAGATGTGATAATAAAGAAATGCAAGAATTAAAAACGTTACAAGGCAGTTATAATAATTAAAGAAGATAAAATAAATTAGAAATAATCTACAAAAAATGTGTAAAATATAGGTCCCAAAAGTTATCTTAAAACTGAAGAAATTATTTATTAGTTATTAAATAATTTTCAATATTCTCTGTCATATATTCTTATTTGTTCCAAAAGTAGTTTTTAAAAATAAAAAAACTAAAGAAATTATAAAAATAATAAGCCAATGTTTAAAAAATCGAAAGGCGTTACTTAAGCACGATTTAGTATACTAATATTACTTGCAGATTTCTAAGAATAGTTCTTAATATCTTATGTACAAAATCATTCAATTCCCCTAAAACAAAAAACGGCAATTTACAGGTTCTTTTGCGAAGCGTCTACCGAATCTCGTAAGTTAGAAATAACTGCGCCATGGGAAGCGTCCGCGAATCATAACGCGCAGTAGGATCCGTGCAAAGAGTATCGCGTTTCGTAGTAAAGGCAATATTCTAAGAGAAACACACGGTCGTAATATAGGGCCGTGACAAAATGTGCTCAGGAGCATTAAAGATCACGATGCGAGAAGATCTATAATGGGTATCACGGAAAATGTACACTTTCCCCGAAGAGCGAGACTCACGAGTCTAATCTCAACTAGAATCACAGCTGCTATACAATTGGCAACATATATATAATTGCCAATTACAAAATCTAAATTAGACTTATTCTACAGATACACTATTAGATATTATACAAATAGAATTATTTATATTATAATATTGATTACTATATGGCAAGATTATTGTGCAAATTATAATGTAACAATACTAAGAAAATAGCTTGCATTTACAAAGCATATTGGGTGTGTCGTATTCGTGCACATAATCTTTGGTTATAATTAGAAAATAAAAGACATGTGGTAGACATAAGGAAGGTAATGTCACCATTTCATATGGTTGTTACGTAAGAGAGAATTCAAATGTATACGATATACAAATAGCGCATGTGTCGTTCGTAATTACTTGTACTCGTGCTTACTATAGTGCCTTTTCCGCGAAAATATTCATAAAAGTTATTTTATGCGTCAACATTATCATAGATATTTTAAAATCCAAATATCTATTGGATATTCTATTGGATTTTGATAATTAACCTAGGTGTTGAAGAAAATTAAATAACAAAACACGATAAAATAATGAAATAGGTGATAAAGGTGATAAAGTGTAACAAAGTAAATTAATGGAATTTTTCAAAAAAAGTACATATTTCTACTTTAAATATCATAAACTTCTATTTATTTATATTTCTGTATCTATCTCACGTTAAAAACTTGCTGTAATAAAAAGCCTGCATGGGATAAAAGATTAAAAAGCAAATAATGGCGCGAACAGTAGATTATTTTCGAATGACATAATATTCAAGCTATTTTTGTAGGCCTCTAAGAAACAAATCGGATCTTATTTCCTCCTATATGTTGCGGTAAGCAAAACGCTAATGTAAGTGCTACAGACCCGAGAAAAATAGAACTTTTATCTTATTTCCTTATTGTTATAAACATATAAATATTTTTTCTGAAATTTTAATGTGTTAATTTTTAAAAAATTATTTAGTTATCTGTAAACTATCATTAATATTCTAGCTGCAGTATTTAAATATTACAATGTGTATATGTACATACTGTACATAATGATGAAAAGAAAATCAATCCTATTGAGTTATCAGCTCAGGAAATTTTCCGACTTGATAATTGAGTTCTCTTTAACACATGCCCAAGCAGCGGATGCAGAGGACACGTGCACAACTGGCGGCTTTTCGACTTTACTCCTGCGTGCATCCGACACCGTTATATTAAGCACTACCCTTACACCCAGGTTTAACCATTCCGGATACGGACTTCTCAGAATTTTACAGTTCTACCGGGGACACGCGTGTCGGATGACGTTAAAGGGTCCCAAAGACAAATGCAAGGCGCGCATTATGCGATAACGCAGTTCGTTCACTGTTGTAATTATACGCGTTGCGTGAAACGATATGATTCACTTGTGTGCTTTTGTATGACATATCGTGAGATGATTCAAGTTTAGATTACGGTGAAGAGTGAAACAATCTGTCGAAATTTAATTCCAATTTTTCCAAAATTAATATCTTTTGCTGCGAACTATATTCAAAACTATATAAAAAATGTTACTATTACTAGAGCCACCATTGTATTAGAGAAAAAATATCTTGCTAATGTAAATAATTTTAATTATTTTCAATTTAATCTTACTTAATTTTATTTAATTTCATGTATCTGATTTTACTTTGCTTAATTTAAATTTAAAACTTTACATATCTTCTGCATGTCATCGTTTCAGAATTTATAACAATAATGAATTGGACGTTCGTAATAAAGATAAAATTAAAAATCAAATATATATATATATATAAATATGCGACATATTAAAATGTAAGTTTTGTTTAAAAAAATGCAGAGTAGCAATTCGTAACATTTGTTTATTGATCTTATTTGACAAATAGAATCTAGACAAAGGCATCGCTTGTAAGCACACGGAGAAGAGGAAGTATAGTTGATGAAAGGGCGCACCATCAGTTATCATCGTCTGACAACATGGTGGATGTAACAGATAATCGATACGGAGTGTATAACAGTCGGTTGTAGCAGCAGCCACATGGACCGAAATGTGCACGCGTCTCAATCTTTGATATTAATAATTAGAACATTATCAAAAAGAAATCTACAGACCATCTTATTAAGTGATTTACATTAACTTTCTCATCCTTTTTTTAAATTATAAAAAATCTCTAACAGCAGAAGTCAAGAAAAGTGAAAGAATAAAACATGAAAAACATTAAGCTAAAATTGAATGTATAACGTAAATCATCGTCATTCATCACAGCTAATATTGACGTTGATATAATTAATATTAAATAATTTATATAAGTAAAACAATTATAGTACTAACAATAATATTGGCTCGATCGAAGAGAAATATACGCGGTACTTAATATCGCTCGAGTCTCTCACTTTTCTGCCAAGTTACCTCAATAATTGTTTTGTTGCAATACCTATTAGAATATTCATTTAATAAACAACAGCGAATGTGATGTATTTTCATGCGAGATAATTCAGACTTTTGCTTTGGGGTTACCATACATGTAACTATCACGTAGGTGTCAGCCGTGCAAAGTTTCCTCAATTAACGGTTCGTTAAACGAATTGACCGAGCAGTTAAATAATTAGCTGGATCCTGTCAGTAGAACTTTATTTACGATACGATGTCGCGACTATGTGCCCGTATGAATAAGTTATCCGCTGTCTACGGCAATAATTTCGTTTTTTTTTACTCAATGTTTTATTCAATTATTTGACTTCTGTGGGTGTCGAAACGAAGGGGTCTCTTTCGGGGTCATTGCAAGATATCGGAATAATACTTAAAGTATGTAGATTAATGCCATGTATCTTAAATTATCTCATGCATATGCACTCTGCGATACAATAGCGACTGACAGACTGTCCTGATGGTTATGTACGGTAGAAAAAAATTATTACATTCTGAATGTGAAGTAAAAGTACCGCGATAATTTCTCAATAATTGGCCAATAATAATAATCAAATAACAATCAAAATAATAATTATATTACTACGTCATAAAATATCGTCAAATAATTTTTTAAAAAATATTTCCTGTATTTGGTACAAACTATAATCAAATTCTATGATGCACTATTAATTTTTATCAGACTATGCAAGTATATTAAAATAGACGCTAGCTACATGCACGCACGTTAAAGGATACGCGATAAAGAGCACAAAGAAGGCAAGATAGCGTCATTAACCTGCATTAACCCTTTTAACGCCGATAATACATTCGACGCAGCGAAAGTATACCTAATATCCGTCGTTTTCGACAATAAAAACACGGTATGTTTAATTTTCTAGCGCGATAAACTGTTTCAAAAAATAAATTTTAATTTTTTTTATAAAAAAATTAATTGTTCGCGAATACATCAATTAAATATTTGTAACATTAAAATTCTCTCTGCAAACATCAAATCTAAGTTAGACATTTTTATAACTTAACGATAAGACTAGGATGTCTTTACAAATCATTAAGACAGATAGAAGCAATTATTGCAAATTTAAATAATAAAAATATAATATACTGAGACTTACTGGGCTACCTGATTTTGATAATCAAAAGAATAAATCAATGATCAATCGGATTAACTACATATACGGCACTCACTTTCGAAAAGAATTATAAGGACCCCAGGCGCCGCCGGTCCTCGTGGACGGCACATTCTGACTCTGGATAGAATATCTGCAGCCACCAAGAAGCATATTCCGCAGCAATTCGGCAACGATCACGAGGCGAAAACACGTGATCTGTCCACGTGAACGTCACTAAATCCTCGACACTGTATGTCACGGTTATCGCTCGAGCCCCCAACCCTCCCCCCCAAAAAAAAATCTTGAAAACAAGATGAGACGCGTACCAATCAACTCTCCGCGACAAATACAATATCTTCTAAAATTCTAAAAATACTAACGTCTTTTATCCCTTAAAAAAAACGACTCGGGGGACACGACAGTGTTCCTCGGGGGAAATCAGGTCTTCGTGGACCACGACGACGATCCTCCGCGACGATTAACCGCCAAAATCGCACTCACATCCTCGCGTAAATCCTCGAAGCATACCCCCCGTCTCCTCGTCTCACCCTTTGTTGCACGAGGGATGAGCATACAACGAGTTCGGGATCGCTCTGCTCGAGAGAGGCAGCGGCGTTAGCGCGAACGTACTATGCTCCTCCGCGCGTAGCTGGACCGATCAATGGAATCAGCTCTCGCGCGAGATGACGCATCAGACAATTCCCCACGGACGTTATCCGATCTCGCGCGTGTCGCGTGACAAGAGCGAGATGTTCGCGGTCGATGTCACCAGTCGGCGATGATCCCGCGACGATTCGCGCCGATCTACGCACGATGGACCGCGGATCTCGTCGCGCGCGACCTTCCGCAGAGGGATGAAAATCCTTTCTTCTCCTCGACGACTCCGAGACGTGACTGTGACGTGACGAGGCCCTCGCTATCTTATCTCGACGAGATGATACCTCGGGCTGAACGCGATCCACGCGTACGTAAAGTCCTGCGTCGTCAGTCAGTCCAACTCCCTTTACTCGAGCGCTCGGTGAATCCTCCGACGTACCACGAGGATCGTGTTACGAAACGTCACTCGCGCACCGCGCAACGCACCGAAAACGACTGACGGCGGGCAACACGAGTCGGGCAGAAATAGAGGGATGGAGGCGAGGGGCGCGGGGGACAACAGGGGAAACGCGAGGGATGCGCCGTGTCGACCGTGGAATAACGAGAGGGGAGAGAAGCAAGAGGCAGCATCACTTCTCCGGCGTGGCGAGACTTCGGGGGAAAATGCAAAATCTCTGAGGAACTTGAAAACTTAAAGAATGTGAAGTGCCATAAATCTTAAATATTATTCCACACATTTTTGTGTGTAAAAATCATGTTCAGCTTCTAGTTTATTATCTCTTTCAGATTCTTTTTTAGATAAAATTCAATTTTAAAATATTTAATTTTTAAAATACTTGTTTCTTATGTTATAGATATTATATTTAAACACATATGTACTACAATTTGACAGATACTTATACTATTTTAATAACCAGCAATATGGTTTAAATAATATCTATTTATTTTGCGGAAAATCGATTTTTTCTCGACGACTTCTTTTTCAAGAACGTTCATTATTTGTAGGACTTAAACTTATATATATTTAATTATTTTCTATAAAGACAATAGATTATGTCTGTTAAAGTAAATCTCGCTGCTCCTATATTTAGATAACAAAATCAATTACAATTTGTTCGTTCGGTGATTAAACGAGTATTCGTAAATTTCGATCAAGAATACGATTTGTATTTATTACGAGTTTCCCTGGCCTTCTCGCCTTCTCCGTTATCGACGAACGTGTAAATCAGCACGCAATCTAGCCAATGTAAACGCCGCTACACTGTCAGATCAAAGAACAGAAGGGAAAAGGGACTCCACGAGAGAGCAACGCACACATGCATGCGAGGAAAGGGGGGAGAAACAGCGCGGGAGGACGAACGAGAGGGGCAGATTCGAAGGGCCCCGGACGAACTAACAGTGAATGACAGAAGCAGAAAACGGGGAGTGCGGAAGGTCGTAAAAACACACACGAAAACGAATCTAACGTCGATCGAGGAGTCAGGGTTTCTCAGCCGAACGATTATGACAATTTTGCAAGTGTGATTCTGCCCTACTAAAAGAAAAGGGCCGTTATCTGCAAAAATTCACATTTTGAGTCATAAATTGATTGACATTTTTCACTTCTCGAGGAATTCATTGGACTAAACAAAAAAACCGTAGCTGCAACCGTTATATATAGGGTAGACAAAATAAAGCGTAACAAATTTTTATCTAAAAAAAAATTTTTCAAAATATTATAACAAAATTTAAAATATCAGGAAATTTTTAACGGAAGAAAGATTTATTATAGTGTTTTGAAAACGGCTCGACGAGATCTGCAACTTTTATCTTAAAGAAAAAATCAAATTCTATTTAAGAAATTAGTCGCCTTTAAAATTTCTTGAAAACGACATCTATGACATGACTCACATCGAAATAACGTGTCCCCCTTCGAATCAAATAACTTTTATTTGAAACATTTTTTTCTAGAAACAATATTTTTGGAGATAAAAATTCACACTTTATTTTGTCCATCCTGTATAAAGGTATCATTTCCTCCGTAACACCACTACTAGAAAACTGCAGATGCGGCAGTTCTATGAGTACACACAAGTATATCTAAGCAAAAATGCAGTACCTGCTTTTCTTACATTCTACAATATAAATATTGTAATTTTAGCTTCACAAAATTATTTTTAGTGCTCAACTTCGATCATATCCCGATTAACTTAATCGGCGATTAATTTATCAACTAATATTATTTCCTACATTATTTCGTCAACATAGGTAGAGCTACCTAAGTATCTTTAAGATTAGAAAAGACGACGAATTGTTAACTGTGTAGTCAGAAATTTCGCTGTAAGCGAATTTTTTCGGTTGAATTAATCTTTTAATTAAGTTAATAGAAATCTGATTGAGGTCGCCCTTGACGTTTGTGGCTGCTTTTGAGATCGACAGACGGGCGCACAGACGAGAGATTGATAACCGCTGAGATATGTAAGATGATCCTTAACCCCGCAGGGAGATAACCACTGTTAAATGCAAACAGTGAGTGAATTCACGATTTTATTGTGGAATACATGTTGCGAAATTACGTGACATGACAACGTCTGAATGTCACTTTACTTTCTTACATTCCTTTCGTCAATGTGGATTAACTTTAATCTTAGTTCAACTTACTTTTTATCTTTTTCCAATTATTGGAACTAGAAAAAAATAAAAAATAACGGCTATTTATGGGTAAATATGAACAAATAATGGACAATTGTAATTTATATATAATTAAAAGAAAACCGCACTTGTAAGGATACTCGTGTCAGATAAAACTTGTTCGATTCTTTTGTTTACTTTTAATTGTTTTGTAAGGTAAACAAAAAAATTATCTATAAACAAATTTCGAACAATGAAATACCATATTAATTTTGTACAAAATCACACTTTGGTTCTCAAGTAACTTCTATCTTAGATACGAGAGAACTTCTTATTGTAACTCCACTCATACGAGGATAAAAAAGGATCTAAAAGGCGATAGAAAGACAAAGAGAATTCACAGAAAAATAACATAATGGTTCAAAAAGCGACAGACCCATTAATATCGATTAGGCAAAGGCCGGGTGATTTATAAACAATACGGAATACGGAACGCGGTGACGTCACTTATTATCGTAATTCACACGAGTAACGAGTCGAATCTCCGGTGCGTCTTGACAGAAACGGCATCGCACAGAGCAGCGAGAGGGCAGAAATATATGTGTCTATTTATATTTACAAACGCAGGGCCCCACGTGCGAGTCGTAGCACTCGTAGCGAGCAAACGCGCGGAGGGGGTCGACGGAACAGAGGCGAAGGGGGATCGGAGAGTGTCGAAACTGCCAGCGTGATTTACTCACATGTCGAACTCCGCCGTCGGTGCGAGCGTCTCCTCGAATTCCGTCATCGTTGAATCGTTCCGGCAGGCTCACCGCATCCTATCACACCGTATCCTGAGCGTCGAGACGCGTGACGCGCGTAGTCAACTCGGCCGCTCGGCGTCGCCGTTACTTTTCAAAACGATGCTTCGTGAGGTGGCCGCACCATTTGTCGCGGCGCTCTCGGTTCTGCCAACCGTCCGTTTGTGGTCGCGCGGTCCTTCAGGTCTGCCAATCGACTGAAATATCACTACTACCGCCGGCTCCCGTACCGTAACTTATAAAAGGGCCGGTATCACAGTCTCCGATTAAGGTGATCCTAAAGCTGTCTGTAAAGCACGGTGTCCACGATGCAAGAACTGTGTCCAAGTTTCGATTTAAGCCAATCAACTTGCAGCTCTTACAGAAAAGTAGCAGTTTCATTGGCTTAAACCGAAACTTGGACACAGTTCTTGCATCGTGGACATTGGACTTAATACCTACACTCGTTTTTAACAATATTTGCTTCGTATAAAAATTCTACAACTTGATGTTACAAAATGAGGGTGCAGGTTCATTCAATAGACATCAAGGAATATCATACCGTTTGTAGAATTAGGCTGAGACTCCAAACAAAAAAGTTAAACGAAAAGTACGATTACGTGAACGTAATGTATGTACATACGTATGTACATTATCGTACTTTTCGTTTAACTTTTTTGTTTGGAGTCTCAGCCTAGTTCTACAAACGGTATGATATTCCTTTATTGATGTCTACTGAATGGACCTACACCCTCATTTTGTAACATCAAATTGTAGAATTTTTATACGAAGCAAATATTGTTAAAAACGAGTGTAGGTATTACAGACAGCTTTAGGATCACCTTAACGTGATTCTCTCATTAAATTCACTCTGCATATCTTTCTAACTGTCCCCCTAGAAAGAGACGAAGACTGAGTTTAATCGGAGGATCACGTTAAAGGAGACTGTGATACCGGCCCTGTGATACCGGCCGAAGCCGGTCAACTTCGACTTTATTAATTTTTTTTTTTTAATCGTTTGTTGGTCGTTTGTTGATGATTGTTGGCCTAATTACAACGTTTGTTGGTTCCTAATTTTTTTTTATTAAAAAAGAAAAATTAGCCTTAAAAGTTAGCCGGAAAAATTTTATTTTTAATTTCAAAAAAGCCTAATCGATGCGTAATCGTTTGCTGATAATTGTTGGTCTAATTTTAGTGTTTGTTGGTTTATTATTAGTCTTCAAAACGAAAAATTATCTCGGTAATCGACACTCAACATGCCCTGCGGCCACATGCGCACGCTCAGCTGCCGCACGCGCATGCAAAAGTGCGCGAATTTTAAACGTATGTATACTTATATAATGCATATCACTTATTGTGGTATTATGCATATTATGCATATTATGCATATCACATGGGTTTATGACGCGTTTTACAAGCTCGTTTAAGTACATGTAAGAGTATTGGAAGCCATAAATGACTATATGTCGAAATAGTTCACGCATACTGCACTTTCCACGCGAAATATTCTATAAATGTATAATTTTCCAAATAATTTCAGATTATGTGTGCTACTTTATTATGTTGAATATTTCGTGCCGATTGTGTGTGTGTGTGTGTGTGTGTGTGTGTGTGTGTGTGTGTGCGTGGGCGCGCGCGCATATATCCTGCAAAGTCGAGTGCTTATTTTTTGGAACATTATGATGATTTCACATGGCTCTTTGTCGACTATAACACCGGAGCACAATACAAAAGTACAGGGAATAAGAACAGAATGCATTGATACACGGCTTCCGATAGGTTGAAAATCTATATTCTGTTACTATTCCCTATTCTTATTGTTTGTACCTTTTTGTTTGTGTTCCGGCCTTAACTCTCTCAAGAGTACGACAAATTGTCGTGGTGGTAGTGGCTCTTTACCGAAGGAGTTAAAACTTAACGGAAAAGCTAACTATGTATTAGTTATTGCACTATGTAGACGGATGCAAGGAAAACCTTATTTATCGCATATTTATTCACTTTCTGCCGTGAGCGTCCTTACAACTTATTTCAAAAGGAGGGGTGGCAAAGTGCTAATATACTTAGAGATACCATGTTTATTTAAGTCGTAAAAAACTGGGAGTTAACAAATAAGATATTTAATTTAGTATAAACTAAAAAAACTTTACAAATTATAGAGTATTTATGAAAAATAATTATTCAGAAAAAGCAAATTTCCTTGAATTTCTTGACTTCCAGAAGGTTGATTATAATCTTGAACCGAAGTAAAAAATCACAAAAGTGAACAGATTTAATAAATTTCGAAAAATTAAATCGTAGATATTCTAGTAAATTTCCATATAACCTACGGAAGATAATATGCCATTTAGCGATCGAGTTTGATCTTTTTGAAAAAGAAAACAGTTCCTATGCATATTTTTTTATTTATGTAAAACTCTACAAACGTATTTTTAAACAATATTAAAAAGATATATATTAATGCAAATTTTTACTATAACTGTATAAAAAAAAAATTATCTGATTGTCAATTATAAAATAATTCTAAATTGAAAATCTGGGTGACAATCTCATGGGTGTCCATGATTGCTTTTTTAAAATAAAACTGTTATTAATAATGACAGTATAACAACCCCCGGGACGGGATGCGAAGAAATTCTCTCTGCAGACTAAGAACACGCGTACTTTATTACGTGGACTTTCTCTTGTCAAGGTTCGCACGTACAGGGGCGACGCTTGTCGCAAGCCGGCGATATCGCGGAACGCGAGAAAAGCGCGAGGTGAGGGAATTTGGACTTTGCTCCCTCGTGCCCGACTACCGAAACTGAGCTCTTCGCATACCCACACGCATACGCTCATCCATACCATTGCACGGGAAACAAATAATTCTTAACAAAAGCAACTATGTATCTGAGTATTAAAAATAAAAAAAAAAAACAAGCTAAAGAAAATATAATTAAAGAAAACCAGTTCCGAAGTGTGTGACAGTTTTATTTATATACTAAATGTAATTAATTCGAATATGTTTATGCGCGAAAAGTCACAGTCACTTTGACGTTCTAATAAACAGAATATGTTACCAAACAACAGTAAGTGATAGAAGTTAAGAGCACTACTGTGCCTTTGTGCGCCCAATTTAGACGTACAGTTCTATTATCGCAAGTCGCTTGAAGAGGCGTTACAACGTCACTTTCCTAAGATGGATATTGTAAGAGCTACTAAAGATCCACACTCTTTTGCATTACCAGGTATTTCAATTAGATATATAATATATAAAATTAGCTACATAAGCATAATACAAATACTTAAAATTTACTTATTTTTTGTATTCTTTTTCTTAAAAAAGAATACAATAAAATAAGAAATTTGTTATAGACAAAATTCATAGACGGTTGAAATCAAAGCTGCTATCAAATCAAAGCTTACCTCTTCAGTAATGTACAGTATTCAAAATTAGATTATTCACAGTTACTCATAGTTCTTTATTAACTGACAACATTCTGAGCACCTTCTTAATTAAATGTATATGAAATATATAGTATCTAAAGGTGTCTGGAAATTGTTTGCACTTTATAAATAATACTATACGCAGTTTTTATAATAATTTTTATATAAGGGATTTTAATTACAATATCATTTTTTGTCACGTATTTACTTATTACATTCATTTATTACATAATATCTTTAATTTTTGTATTTTTTTAATTATTATTAGATAAGGCACGAATAACCCATATTCATTTAGAATTGACTGTGGATTTTAATCGAAGAGTTCTTAAAGGAAAAGTGATTTTGACTATAATAAGGCAACCTTCAACTAATCAGATAGTGAGTAGACACTTCCTTCCACAACGAGTAAAAATTTTGACTGTATATATAGTGGGTTATTAATAAATAACATCGAATAAAATTAGTTTTTAGATAACATCGGACTTGTTATATCACGTATCACAAACGTGCTTGATGGAACACCTTTACATCATCATATTGCATTTAATCCTGCTTTTGGAATTTCATTTTGTGTAGACTTACCACCATCAACTATCGACACTATTTATAATCCTGAGTATTAAATATAAGATATTTTTAAAGAAATATATTTACTAAAAGTTATTGATGTAAGAATTAAATACAAATACGATACTTTTAGATGTAAAATTCAAATTGAATATGAAACAAATCCATACTCATCTGCATTATATTGGCTAACACCTGCGCAAACTGCCGATGGTAAACATCCTTTTTTATTGTCTAACAACAAGGTAAATGACAAAACTAAACAAAGATATTTTTCTATATAAATGTAGAGTATATAAAAATCTATATTTTTTATAGTTAACGTACGCTAGAACATGGTTTCCTTGCCAGGACACTCCGTCTGTCAAATTTACGTACTCTGCTAAGGTATAAGAATTTAAACACAAGTAGTATTTGTATGTTTCCAGCATTTATTTATTTACATAAAATCAATGACATTTGATTAATTATTATTGACATTATTGATAAAAGTAATAAGATTTACGAAGAGATAGACTGCATCAGCAAAAAATAAATTAAACGTTTTTAAACATGAACGTCTATATTTTTTTAAAATTGTTTTAGTTAACCTAAAATAAAATATATATCTATTTTTTGTATTTGTATGTTTTATTTTTTAGATTTCGGTACCAAAAAATTTTAGAGTTTTAATGTCCGCACTTTTGCATAATATAGACCGCGAAGATCCGCAACTAGACAAATATGAATTCCGTCAAAATTTACCTGTACCATCTTATGCTGTGATCATTGCTGTGGGATCATTATGGACAAAAAAACTTAATGAAACAATGAATATATTTGCCGAAGAAAACATTTTTAAGACCACCAATTATATCAATATTTTTCGTTGCACTACAATTGTAAAGATGTTGCAAATTGCCGAAAGATTGTGTGGATCTTATGTGTGGGGTAAAGTATTGACTAGATTTTTTAATATTAGTTTTTTAATTTTAATCAAATATAAATTTATTTAAATTGTTTAAAAATATTTTGATATATTTATTTAAATTTATATATACGTAATAAAATTTTGCTTTTGTGCATGATTACACTGCAAACTCAAATGTGTTATTTTAGCTGAAGCTATTCTTATGCATTTCTTGCAGTTTTAATTCACGTCGCTTAACACATTGAACGTATTATCTTTTAATTTCATATAATTAGTAAATAACGTAATTTAACACATGAAGAGAAGCATGTAAAAAAAGCGTCAATCAAATGTGTCATTTTTAGACGCTTTTGTGTGCAAAAATAACACACTTGGATTTGCAGTGCAATATCTTTCTTTTGTTTATATTATTACGTTTCAAATGATATCTCTAGGTAGATACGATATATGCGTGCTTCCACCAAGTATCGCCCATTTCGAAATAGAATGTCCATGCGTGACATTTATTTCGCCGACTCTACTTGGAGGAGATCGTTCTTACGTCAGTTATTCGCTAGCTCGGAACATCTCACAGAGCTGGGCAGGAAATTTAGTTACATGTTGCAATTATGAGCATCTGCGGTTAAATAAGAGTTTCAGCATTTTTATTTCCAGAAAAATTAAACGCAGAGTTTTCTCGGTTTTGTATCATAAAGAGATACAAGCTTTTCTTCAAAGGGAGGGATTAAAAAACCTGAATGGTTTGGTAAGACATTAACTTTGATTAGTAAAAGAAATGGAGTAATAAATAATGTTATCAATTAATAATAATTTACATTGTATGCATTATAAACACATATCCAATTCCTCAATTCTTACTGGATTATTTTCTGAAACTGTATTGTGTAAATTGTATTATAGGTTCAAGAACCCAAAAATGTCGGCTGGCTAAGATGCTTATTACCCAATTTGGAATGTTTGTCACCTGACATAGCCACTAAATACGTGCCTTACGAAAGGGGATATTTTCTCTTATGTCATCTAGAGAATATATTAGGAGGACCCACATTATTCGAACCGTTTCTTCAATCTTATTTTATTGATTTTGCACACCAAAGCATCAACACTACAGATTTTTTAAACTACTTGCGTCAAAGATTTCCTGACAAAGTAGGGGTAACATCCTTTTTATACATATAACAAACTACAGCTTTGTCAATATTCATATGTTTAGCATTAAAAATAATGATTATGTTGATTTCAGATGTTAGATCTTGTTGAATGGCGCTTGTGGTTCAATGACATTTTTTCTACATCCATCATACCGGAATTGCCGGAAATGTCTTTATGGGAAAGAAGGTGTTCCAGGTTTGCGGAAAAATGGGTCAGTTTGGATGTCCGTAATATACCTCCTACAACAGCAGGCGTGAAGAACCTCTGTGACATTGAGAAAATAATATTATTAAACACCCTAGATTATTTTCATAGAAATCTGTCCATAGAAAAACTGAATTGTATTTACAATCGTTTCTTTCAGAATATCAAAAATGAAAAAATACGGTAAATATGCATATCCTCATTTATATATATATATATATATATAATTGCTTAATGTAAAATGCATCGAGTATTTCACAGGTTTTTTTGGTTGCTATTGTGCATTAAAGTTCGATGGGCTGACATAGTTACACTAGCTTTGAACTTTGCTACTGAACATTGTTCGCCAAATTATGCATGTCCTATATTTCAATCTTTGTACAAATGCCACGAATGGCCAGTTGTGCGTAAACAAATGATGGAAAAGTATAATCAAAATAAAGAAAAGATGTTGAATGAAACCCAGGAGGAAATAGACAAAATTCTATACCCAAATTGATTTTTGCAACAATTAGCCTGATTTTGTTTTTAATGGATAAGTCATTAGTAACTATAATATAAAATAATTCCTTAATATAAAGAAAATTTTTAAATATATAGAAATATTTATAATGCGAATTTAGAGAAGACAAATTTCTATACCACGCGTTTGTTGTAAAATAATTTCATTGGAATTTAAAAAGTTATTTATTTTATTTTGAAGTTGCAGTGCCAACGATAGAAGGTAGTTAAATTCGCAATATGATGCATGACGATAGATTAAATTTAAATTTGTAATATATATATATCTATACTATTATCTATACTATTATATAAAATCCTTACGGGTGGTGTATGTTTGAACGTTAATAACTTGAAAATTATTGGACCGAATTTTTACCACAAGTACATGAAATAGGGCTAGAATTTTCCGGGGAGTGCTATAGAGTGTGTATTTTTTTGTTATCGATTTTTTGGAAACCGATTTTTTTAATTTTTCTGATTCTTACGGGTAAAAGAATTAAAAAAATCGGTTTTCAGAAAATAGATAACAAAAAACTATACACTCTATAGCACTCCCCGGAAAATTCTACCCCTATTTTATATGGTTTTAATACAAATTTGGTCCAATAGTTTTAAGTTAGAAACGTTCAAACATACACCACCCGTAAGAATTAGAAAAATAAAAAAAAACGTTATTAACTTAAAAACTATTGGATCGAATTTATATTAGAACTTAGAACCATATAAAAGAGGGGTAGAATTTTCCGGCGAGTGCTATAGAGTGTATAGTTTTT